TATGGTGGATGGGCAAAAGAATTTAAGTCAAAGTTTGGTCGACAGGATAAATATGCTAATATTTTTTACATTGCTGTCTTTTGCTTACAGTTCTAATAATACGAATTAATTTCACTTCTTTCCCACTCTGTTACTTGAGATTATAATAATATATCCAAAATCTAATACCTAATCCTACATTGATCTTTAAATATTGCAAATATTTCTTTGTAAAATTAATAATTCTGACTTATACTCCTTTACCTAACAAAGAATGTTTTTATTTGTAAATTATTTTGTTTATGAGATTTTTATTATTCACTTCATTGATTTCATGATATTCTTAAGGTGATTTCATTCAAAGAAACAAACAATATCAAAAACATTTTATTGTTACACTTCATTAAATGGAATAAATAGAGACATTTATTAGTTTTTAGTTGCAGATGATCAATGTTGGAAGAATGGTATTGTCGCTCAATTGCAAACAACAATGCAGATGCAGAGGACGATGACGATGATAGTCCAGAGGAGGAAGTGCCTAACTATAAGGATCAATATCGAAATCTTAAGAGAAAATTAAAATTTTTAATTTATGTATGTGTATCTATTATTTTTATATATATGGGTATACATTTATTTTATAATTATTTGATTTATTTTGATTTATTTTTTCAAATTTATTTGATAATTATTTCAGGAAAATGAGTGTTTTCAAGAAGCTTTGAGATCTACACAAAGAAAATTACTTAAAGTAAATAGGGACAAGAGTTTTTTATTAGATCGATTATTACAATATGAGAAAGTAGATGCCTCATTCAGTGAAAGTGATGAAACTGAATCATCTGATGAAGAAGTTACTCGTCTTGATACTTCAAAAAGGTACTTGAAAAAACTTTAGTTAAAAGGAAAGTGTTAGTATTTATGTATCAATTTTGTTCTATTCCTAGAAAAAAGATAGAAATGGGAATTAGTAATCATACACCACATCATATGCCAACAGTGACAAAATCTCAACTCAACACAAGCAAAAAGAAAAAACCTACTCCAAAAGTAACAAAATCAAACAGCACACCTATAGTAAGTAATTATTTGTAATTTAAAGGAACAGTTAATTTAGGACATTTCATATTTCAGGTACAATCATCAAATAATGTAGTACCAATGTCTTTGATGTCAGATGGCCATATGACACCAGAGGAAGTAGAAAGACATCTAGAGTCTCGACAGACTTATTTGGAACTAGTACCAGAGAAAGCACCACCTACTGTTCCAACTGAAATGTTCAGCAATGACCCTTCATTAGACAGGTAAATAGTTTGTTACAGAAATTTTTGTAGAAATATGTGTTATACGAAATTTACATTTATAGCGAGTCTAACGAAATCGGAGAATTAGAAACGTCTCCAAGTAATATAGGTGAAGACTGCCCCAGTGTGGATATGATGGCCGAGTGACAAACATTTATTCATAGTTTAGTGATTAATTACAAACTGCACATATAATTACTTATCTTATTAATATTACTTTACTTGACTAACTTAACTGTATTCTTCGTAATGTAATACAAGTTTTTATACATATAACAAGATAGTTTGTAAATGACCACCTGTTCATAATCCTCATTTTAAGGAGTACTTACGACGAACAAGAGAAAATAAATGAAATCTTATCATCGGAGTTAACGAATTTCATTTTTCGATAACATAATAAAATAACGAAAACAGCAATAATAATTGCAAACTGAAACAATCATGTAATTAATTTTCGTTCGTCTTTTTTCTTGTTCTGAATATGTTACAAATATTCAGGTTAAACAGCTAAAAATAGTCTATAATGATCGGTCAGAGGAGTTCCGTTGAAAGTGTCCTAGAAAAAATTATAGCAAAAGTTGAAGCAGAATCAAATCAAAAAAATACAGGTATTAAGTTGACCATAAAACGAAAACTCAATAATTCAAAACATGATTCGAATAAAAGAGCGAAATTACATGAATCCCTTGATGAGGCGACACACTGTCGTATTTGCTACGATTCTTCTCACCAATTACCCATTACATATCCCTGCAAGTGTAAGGTTAGCTAATCATCGCTACTTTTAATATTCCAAGGAAATTAAAAAATAAAACGAATTAAATTTTTTCAAGGGAACCATGGGTGCAATCCATTTGAAGTGTCTAGAACATTGGCTAGAGGAAAGTAATAGAAATAGCTGCGAATTATGTGGACACCAGTTCGAGATCAGACGAACTCCTCGTTACCATGTTCTACATTCTATATTAATTTGGGTGTGTCTTAATCAACAGCAACATCAATTGTATGTTCGAAGTTTGAAGGCCGATTTACTTCGGAGCATTATTATTACGCCTATGGCGATAGGATGTTCTTACATTTGTATAGTCGCGGCCGATTTTTACGCCAAAAATAATTACGATAGCTTTCCACCAGCGCGATGGTCAACTTATTTGTTATTAGCTATGATGTCTCTGTTGCTCTTCTCTTATTTTATATGGATGTACATGGCGATACAGTATCATCAGAAGATCTGGTTTTATTGGTGGCAAAAGACAAGTACAGTAAGAGTTATATTGAATCCAGAAAATAGAACTTCAATAAACTACAAGTCTAATGTATCACAAGTTTAACAATTACTGAACACTTATACCCGTAACAATGAATACTTTTACGATAGTCATTAGGATGCTCTTCTTTTGATTGAAATTTTTCCTCGACTTAATTGGGATATATATATACGCACCTTGCTTCCATCCGAAACTTTCTTCACCCATATCTATAAAATGAGGAAATTATAATTTAAGAAAAAGATTATAATAAAAAGGAAGAAATTTTATGAATTTGTTGATAATCATTTACATACAGCTTCAGTTCCTATCGCCGAAATATTTGCAGCGAACCTAGTTAAATCTTTTCCTTCTACGTACACTGGTTGTCCACGATGGAACCTATAATTTTCTTGATTTAGATAGATAATTACAAAAATAAAAATCAAAATTACCATCGTCTTTCATGTAGAAGTTTGCCATCTTCTATCCTAGTCTCTATTATTGGGGTATCAGAGGGTGGAGGAATATGTTGAGAAGGCATGTTTACTGTATTATAATGTGGTAGTATTGCTGCAAATAATGATTTCCAGTTAATTCATGTACATTACTTTGGAATTTTTAGTCAGTACCTGGTTTTCGAATAGTGGTCAGTACTTTACCGCGACTAATAGCTTTTAAATCGCTCTCTATCTCTTTTTCATCTAACAAATAGTTCAATTGCGCGGGAGGCGGTTTCCTCCGTTTCTCTACTTTCTCAGGTACAGGATCGTTTGGTCGCCTTCGTAATTTTCTTGTCATTACAGGTTTCACCTTAATAAGTAGAAAAATAAATATATGATATAATGAAGAGTGAAACTGCTATTTGTATCAGATTTATACCTCCATTGAATCGCCAGTGAGTTCCATTGTGTGTCGATCAGATTCAATCATTTTCCGTTTTTCTTCCATATCTGTTAATAAGTTCTCCTTTAAATCTATTTTCTTTTCCTCAAATTCCTTCACTGCTGCTTTTTTTTCTAATATATAGTCCCGTTCTACCCATTCTGTCAAATAATCACGGTAAATTACATTCAATCGTAATCTGTAAATAAACAATTTAATTAAAGGAACAATTACATAGTAATTCCACTCAAAATGAATATTATACTTAATGCGAACCTTTCTTTGTACTGGGTTTCCAAGCGTTTTAATTTTCGATTATACTCTGGATGTGTGCCATCCTTTAACTGCTGTAGTTGTTTCTTTAAACTAGCTAACTTATCTTGATAAACTCTGAAAAATCTGAATGTAACTCACCATTGATCAAAGAATTGACATAAATTTATTTACTTACTGCTCCTTTATTTCTGTATACTCTTCAGATTTGCCAAGATCTGTCTCGCTTGCCTCCTCAGTATCTAGAAATTTATAAATTGCCTGTTTATAAAAGTATTAATTACAAAAATATATTTTTAACGAATTAATTGTACCTTCATCACTTTCATCTTGTTCTTCAGCATCTCTGTCATCTTCCAAATACTCGTCGTTGTCTTCATCAATATCATAATCGTCCTGACCATACATGGTCGAAAACGGAGAATCCTGATACGACATTTTACAGTACAATAAACATTTCTTAATATTTCATTAACAATACTAGATATTTTAAGCCAGTTTGAAAAACAAATAGCTGTGTACAATTAAGGTTATTTATATATCTACAATGCCATTTACAACAATACTATGAAGTTTCAATTTTCATAATATGTGGAACTCATTTTGATAATAAAATAACTGTAAATAGATCACTATTATGTGATAGGAATAATATATAATATGAAATCGTATATGTTATTCTTGGAATGTATAAACAAACATATATGTAATTGATCAGCTGTGGAACATTTGATGAAAATATCATTAAGGCTGTTTTAATACAACGATACTTTCGCGAGTTTTTAGTAAATCATTTCATAATTTCAACTGGTAGAAAAAACGTGTAGCGAAAGAGATATTTGAAAATTTATTATAATAATTTAATATAACGATATATAGAATATTATAATAATTTAAACAAAAGTACAGTTCATTTAGGGTTTATGCATAAGACTAATATACATGGAAATTAAATATAAAAATTTGGAAAAACTATACATTCATTAGGAATATTAATATCAATTAACAAAGGAAACGCTTAATTCCAATATTTGTTAATTTTAATCAATATTTCAAAAAATATCGTCCTTCTTTTACACATACTTTTATTGGATCTTAAAATGCAGATTATTTTGCGATAATGTTTTTCGAACAATTAGAATTCATTAAACGATAAAAATTCATTACCTTATATTATTTTAAATAATAATCCATCAAATTTTCGAAAATTGCACGTTTTCATACTTCATGCTTTCATGCACCTGACTAAATTTAGAACTATATAGTAATTATGAGAATTCAAATGCTATTGGCAAAGCATGCAATTGGCAATACTTTTTAACGTACTTCGCAGTTGTATAGTTACAGTTTTAAAATGAATGCACGAGTGATGAAACGAATTTAAATGTAACATATTCATTTTGTTCTGTATGTTTCTAAATTACGCCGTTTTCCGGATACTCTGTCAGATAATACTTTGAATGTACGCTATCCAAGCTTGTGCCAATTGCCATTGGAAATACACAACAGGATTATTGAAATTTGGCGGCAGCATAACCTTATGGTGACCTTAGTGGGAAAGTTTATAAATGATTTTTTCTTATCTCATATATTTTAATATCCTGTGTAAAATATGAAAGAACTAGGGGAAGTTAGCTGTGAGGTAATTCACAATATCAATGGAATTTCCTATTTTATTTTCTTAAAAATATGCTATGAAAATATTTACTCGGTTATTGTAATATTTATTTGTATATTATAAAAGGCAATATCACTCTTAATCTAATAACAATATTATTTTTGTGTAGATACGCAGTGTTGTAGATATTCAGCACTCTATAACAAAATGTTTAAATAACGTAAAAGGAGATGACAGTGGACCATCAAATGGTTCGCAAATATATAATGATCTTGATGGTGTTTATGGAGGTTTTCTAAATGATGCCACGTATGCTTGGCTAAGTTATGGTTGCCATTTAGTAGTTCTTAATGCAAAAACTGGTGAAAGTACCAGTTCGTGGACCTTCCGAGGGAAAATCACTTGTGTTTGTCAATTTCCTGCTCAGTGTGGGGAACTACCATTGCTCCTTGTTGGTTTGGACAATGAAGCAACTAGAATTAAAGATTCCGTGGGTTTATTGTGTATCTTTGATTGTACTTCCTCTCGTGTTTTAAGAGCTATTAAAGTAGGTATTGAAATACGATAAGTTCCTAAATTATGTGGTATTTAGAATGAAATGTTCATGATATAATATATTATGTACAGATGCCAGCTGGTGTAGAACAAGTTTGTATTGTATCTGGTGCAACAGATTGGGAAGGATTTAATGACAGAAGACCAGACAATATTCTTATGCAAATGGATGGTATAGCTTGTGTAGTATTACGCAATCTTCATCATCTCATGATTGATCTTCAGAGATCTACTTGGGAGGATCCTGATTTATCTGTTACAATGGATGAAATTTCTCCAGCTGAAATACAATTCTTAACAACTAAAGACTCTTTTCATAGAAACAGTAGCAAACACATGACTTGTAATTTGCTAACTCAACGTAAGTATAACATAAACAACACTCTGTTTTTGTTGTTTCTTTATCCTACTTTAATATACATGATTACATTTTTTACATTTGTAGGTATAGAAAAGCACATTGGTTTTAATAGAGAAAATTTTGAATTGAATTCTTTTCTAGACGAAAAATTAACAAATACTATAATTAGCTCAATGAAAATTGGTTGTTTAATATCAGGATGTCTAGGCAGAGTGATAATATGGCAGAATGATGGTTCTGTGGGATGGATTAGCGTACCCGTGGATGAAACCATGATAATAACACATTTAGCATTATTAGAACCAACAGATGATCCTAGACCTTTCTACTATTTGTGGGTTGTTTTCCAAGACGATTCATTTAAGATGCCTCCTATCTTGAGAATGTTTGCCTTATTGTTCCAACGAAAATACTGTGACAGAGGAACTAATTTATATTTTAATCTGGAAGGAGAGCCTAGCCTTAAATTCGAGATTGAATTAGACCCAAAAGATAGAGTGGTTAGTTTGTCTACGTTCGAAAGAGGAACTAATCTGGACCAAACAGAGTCAGAATGTAGGAAAGGTGAAGACAGTTTGCTTCTAATTTCAACTACTAATAGAACTTTATTATTTGATTTGAATCAATGGTACAAGGAACAAATGCCTCAAACTCTCAGTGAATGCAAGAATCCAAATAGTATATTGTCCTGTTATAATACAAATCACAGGGCCTGCAACATAACTGGCAAAGAGATAATAAGTTGTGCCTATATTCCTCGCACTTTACAAGAATTTCCTAATAATAGTTTAAACTCATCAGAAGAATTATTTTACCCAAATTCTTTGTTCTTTGAATGGATAGAGTTAAGTTTGTCAAAATTAACATTTTGGTATACTAGAGGAGTCCAAGCTGAATTACTTCGTGAAATTGCCCTTGCAGGGCCTATCATGCTAACGCAACCTTCTGAAATGTTTCACAAGTGTCTCTCCGTTGGTTTGACTCCGTTCAACACAGAAATTTCATTTTCTAGCGATCATAACGCTCAGAGGGATATGTTATTATCGCTTTGTCTGGAGCAACGTTGGGCGACTTTCTTGATCAAGTGTGCCAAAGAATGGTCAGATGGAAGTGCCGCCTACATGTATCCAAGTTTCTTAAAGTGGGGAATACAGCGCGCGTCTTCCATAAAAATGATTGCTGATCGTCTATGTATTCCTCTATTTGATCAATCAGGTAATAACATAGGCGAATCCGAAGTAAAAACGTTGAGATTTTGTTACCAACAATTGGAATGTTTATCTAATGTAGTAGCTAAGTTACCTTTTGAAACAAGCAGTTTAATCAAGCAACGAAGAGCACTAAAGCGAGTATCTATGTACTTCCAAGTATTATTATGGTTTTACGACGTGGGTTTGTTACCCGAATCAGAATGTCTAGAGGAAGGTCCTTTACCAATGTCTCTTGCTCTGAAAATTCCATATCCATTCGAAAAATTGTTTTCTCTGTACAAAGAAAAACGAGAATCGATTAAAGACAATAATGCAAAAGAAGGAAGTGAAGAGGTGCTTTTCATAGATGAATTGATAGCTCGAGAGTGTCCTGCCTTGAATTTACAGTGGGAAAGAGAAGCTGGAGAAGTGAATACCAATGGCTATTATCCTCCACCCTCTTTGCAGTCGTTACTGAGGAGTTACTTGACTGACTGCGATCAGACAGAGTCAAATGAGATAGAATGTAAACATCAGATCACTATATACCTTCTAATGGATTTAGCTATGTTGTTACAGGGTTCCTATCCTGGAGTTGATCAATTGATCAAATATCCTTCATCTTTCAAGATGAGTCCAAGCCTCATAAAACTTACCCAAGCATTCTGGCTTCTAGATCATGAGGATTACCAAGGTTTCTTGGACATGATGACTGGTCAATTAGTCAGTGATTCTGATGTCAAAGACTGGCATCATAAACTTGTGCTAAAAACACTGATAAGAAACAGTCAGCACAAGTTAGCTTTAATGTATCTGCGCATAAAGAAACCTCCTTTGTCATCCTTTCAAGAACAAAGCACATTAATAAGTTTATCAGTGGAGCATGGTTTGGTTCAATCTGCTTTTCATCATAGACTGCAGTCACATTATACACAGCTACTAATGTGTTTCTTTCAATCCTGCAAGAATTATAATAAACTCGGCGATATTTTACATTTGGCCTTGGATACTGAAGAAGAGGAAATGTTTGTCAAGTTTCTGGAGGATTCCAAGTCTGAAGACATAAAATTATTGTATTACTTGCAACGTTGTCGTTATATGGAAGCCAATAGTGGAAACACTACTACTTGGTCCAATTCTGTTGCTTCAAAGAACATGCATTTTGATATGTTAAATGCCTACAATGCAACTTTACCTAATATAGTGAAGCGATTTTCCATGAACATGGGTAAAAGTAATCTAGATACAGATTTAGAGTCCAGATATCCCAGACCTATGACCCACAACAAAAGTTGTCAGAAAACTGCAAATATTTATGAAACAGTTATTAGGAAGGCAAAGGAAACGTATGTTAGAACAGAAAAGTCTGTGGTTCCCTTCGTCACTGCCCCTTGTGCCGCGTTAAAGTCATCTAATGACAGGATCAATATAAATTGTGTAATGTCTCCCAAAATGGTACAAATGAATAACAAACGCACTTTGGAACAGGTTATGCATGATGAAGAGAACAGTGGTATGAGAACACCAGAAAGAACAAAACGTAGGAAGTTGCTGGATGATAGCGAAGCAGCTTTGAGTGCTGCATTTAGTACCCCATTGGTAAAACGGAAAATATCCACCAATAGGGATATTCCGATTGAAACTCCGCATTCTATTTTAAAAATTCGGCAGCTTATAAGATCTTCGACGTCTCCAATTGCTGCTAGCCTACAGGATGAAATCACAGGTAGTCCAGTGTCGGACAGGGAGCATAAAGTTAATAGACAGATACGATTCAATATTAGTCAGTCAAAGAACAGCTGTTCTCATGGTGAAGTTAGCAGAGAAGAAGAATTTTCTAAACTTAATACGTCTGATCAAAACGATGAAGTGTTCGTGAGTCCAGCGACAAGTGAAAAGTGTCTGATTGATAGTCCAGTTTTATCAGATAGTAGTTATACTTGCAAAAATGTATATACAGCTCGGCCTAGACCGAGTCTTAGAAGAACTTACTTACAAACGTCTACAGAATCCATAAATGAGTCTTTGTCCAATTGTTCAAAGACAAAAAATTCCGCAAATTCTCGTTTGAGCGTTCCTTCAGTCAATATATTGAATAATCGCTCATTAACGAACACGCCGCAGGTATCCAAAAGATTATCTACTTTATCTTCCTCTAGTTATTCCCCTGCGGTTCTCTCTCCAGATAGTAGCTTTGAGATAAAAGTTCCTTCAAGAAGGTCCGATAAGAGTGACCTTCAGCGCACCTTGAAAACCCCTAAACAAGAGAATACTAATCATAATTCTCTTATAGCCTCAACACCTATGACAAAGGATTCTAGCCCTGAAAAACCGCGACACAGTTCGGAGGAATCAATTACCACAGAAGTCGAAGAGGACATTGTTCCAGAAGCATTTTATGAAAATAGAGAGAAGACCTCGGAAAATATAGATCAATCAAATCATTTAGAACTACGTAACAGTAAAAAATTAAAGGAAGATGTTTCGAGCTCTAAAGTTTTGGAAAATATTAATGAAGATCATGAAGAAGATGAAGAGGAATATAAAAGTCTTTCTACGAATAATGTAAGTTGTTTAGAGAACAAAGAACAACACCATCGATCATTTCATGAAAAATTACCGAATGAATTTGAGCACGATGTTGAAAAACACGTTAGTTCTAAAAATGGTGTACTATTCGACATCACTGACGATGAATCCTCACATGATAGCGATGAGGTATTCTTAGTTCTTGATGAACCGGAGAGTAAAGAAAAACAAGGTTCAAAAACAGTACCAATGAATACAGACAACATCTTTGACGCTTCAAATATCACAGATGATGAATCTGATTCCAGCATAGAAATATTAGATAATCTTCAAAGAAATACTGCACATCTGGATAAAGAAGAAAATATACGTGACCAATCCAGATTTTCCCAGAAGAAGGAAGAAAATGCAGAGGAACAGGAGACAAAGGACAAGTCGATTCGACTTGATAACAATAATTCTAATTATAGAAGAACTAGGAGGAACTCAGTTCGAGGTTCATCAGATCATATAGAACCAAAAGACATTGATAATACTTCCAATTTAGACTCTGAATCCCTAGAAATCACACCTAGAATGACCAGATCACGTCGAGCTTCATCCGTATCGAAAGAAACTAATATGTCTCCTTTAAATTCACCTTGCAAGGTTCTTGCAAAGACGCCGCGGTCGAGACGAGCGAGTTCGTTGGTGAAAGAAGTATTAATTGCTTCTGTAGCACCTGCAGATGAAAGTGTGAAGCAGATAGCCTCTTCTGGATCAGATGGATCATCTGGGATTTCGTCGCCAAGGAAAATCAGGGGCAGGAGGGCATCTTCTGTTGCCAAGGATATTTCCATAGAGGCAAAAAGTGAGGAAGCTAAAGTTCCAGTGAGAAGGAGTTTAAGACGTTCTGCCTCAATACAAAAGGAGCTACCAGAAATTAGTGAGAAAAAGGTTCAAACAGAAACTAAGAGCTCAAATACCAAACAATCCTCAGGAGGAGCAAATAAATCGAATACAATCTCAATTCGATCAAGAAGGGAATCTCAAACAAGTGAACAGGATCAGGAAGAGCCTAGTATTGTTAAGTCATCAAGGAGACGAGGTAGTTCTGTACCTAAAGAGCCAGTCAACGTGGTAAGAACAACTCGAAGGTCTAGCAGCGTAGCTAAGGAAATTGTCTCAAAGGAGTTTGGACTATCATCAGAATCTGTAAAAGAACAGTATTTGGTAGAAAAGGCAGTAAGCAAACCAGCTGCAAACACACGTAGTCGTAGGTCCTCAATACAATCAATACCGGAAGAGCTTGAAGAAATTCTAAGCGTACCATTAAAAGAAAGAGTCTCCACTACGAACAAGAGGCAAGAGGCTGCACGGAATCCTCGACTGAGAAGAGCAGCAAGCATGGAATTATCTCAAGTAGAAACAAGGAGAAAAACCAGAAGTGCCCGTAGCAAGGAAATCTTTGAAGAGACAATAATGGAGGAAGAAGGGACAGAAACCATAAGTCCAATAGACGATTCTCAGAAAGTTTCTAAGAAGAGGAAACGTGGTGTTTCTGAAACCTCTACTCGAGAAGCGAACGAAACGACGTCAAAACCAAGAAGAGGAACAAAGCAATCAACAAAACAAAATACCAAGGATAAGGCAGCTAATCAGTTTTCTTTTTCACAGCCAGAGAAGACGAATGATCAACCATTGGATCAAGAAGGTACATTCTAGCAATATTTAATTAATATTTATTCATCGAGAAAATTTATTAAGAGAATTGTTTTAAATTTTATTTGCAGCTATTGGAGAAGTTCCAAAATATATGTTTTCACCTCCACATACCAGATCGAAAACTATGGCTTCCGATCATCGTAGGTGGTTACTTTCCAATTAAATTAATTTATTTCTTTTTTAGAATCTGTTATGAGCTTACTTCTTTCTTACCTACACACGCTTCTACACACTCAATACTTTGCAGCTTATTCACTCATGCTTCTAATAGCAGCTAAGAACTTATACTTTATATGCTTCTTTATTACCTTTTAAAAGCACAGAATCAGTATTAACATTTTTTTATTTTTTATACAGATTGAATAATTTCATTCCGATTTTGAGCGAAGATGAGGGGGAGGAAGAGAATGAGGAAGAGACACAGAATAATATACGGAAAACCGCAGAAGTGAAAAAGCCGAACTGTTATCATATACGCCGCTGTAGAATGAAGTTTGTACTACCCGTGAATTCAAAGAGTACAACAAATTAAATATAATTTTACGAAATTTTTTAAAACCTTTTTTTGCACAATCGTATATTCAGTTATCCAATTTTAAATGATTTATAATCTATAATCTATGATAGATCATATACAGTACTTTCTTTCGACAACCATGTACAGTGGATAATATGTAAAAAAATGCAGTTGTTTTTCGAATGACTTAATTACATAGAGAGAAAAAAAAAAATGGATTAGAGATTATGATATGTGGGACCATGTGAAATGAAACTTTTGTTACATCATAATGATGCAAAGTTTATCACAGAGCAAGATCCGTTTCTAAAATACAAAGCAGAGAAAAAGGGGACAGTCTTTTGCTATCGATTTGCTAATATTCAGTATAATGAAAGTTATAGCTATATTTTATCAATGAGTAATCTCATCTGATGCATAACGCTTGGAACATATGTTAATATGGTACTTTGCGAGGTGTATATTTTTTAAAATTAACATGTTTTATTTAGAAGACTATTTTATATAATCTATAAATTTATTTAATCAATTTAATTAGAATTTTCATGCTTATGAAATAAATTGTTTTTTTTTTCTAATTAGTATCATTAAGTTTCCAAAGCATGTGAACAGGTGTATAGAAAGAAATCTTCGTTGATCTGTATCTTCTGAATATTAAACCAGCAAGGAACTTCGGAAATGTATTATAAAAAACAAATAACTCTCTCTCTCTATCTCTGTAAATCATAAGATTCCTTACTTTTATATACTTATTTGGCAAATATATTTGTTACATTAAATTGACCCCTTTTTTTTTAACGCAATAAGTTCATGGAATGAATTATTGTCGTAACGTATATTTATATGGTGGTTTTTGATGAAAATGTGTACCATAACTTTGTAAATAATTTATTAATATACCCATGTATAGCTGTATTCATACAATAAATGTAAAAAAGTATTAATACATATTATTGCTATCGAATAAATTTCCAATCACCATAAATAAGTACCTATAACTTAAATACTGAAGCGACATTAAATAATAATACTACAATTGTGCCGCATCTACATTATAATAGATTAATAAAAATTGTAACACGATCATTCAACTTATATTTCCTAAAGTAAAGCTTACAAAATTATTTAATTTATCAAACATTTGTTTTATACTACGCATTCGTAGCTTCGAATATTTTTCCAGAAAAAACGAAATTCTCGTGTTGCTAATACTAAACTTTGTCTGGTACAAAATGAACGTTATAAATGTCCTCTTTGGCAGTAAATACATATATATTATTGGTTCTGCATCTTAAATAATTAAAAAAAAAGACACATTGCTTTAAGAAGGAAGCAAGGAAAATTTATGCATATGTTAAATCTACATTAAATTTAGAGAGCAGTATTTATGTAATTCGATTAAAATCTGTTTCAAGTAGATCATTTGATATTCAGTCTAAATGGTCAATATTTGTACATCATTGTTTTCTTATTTGATACAATTAAATATAATAGCTGAATCTTTTCTTTTTAATCTTAGTGTGATTGTCTACTTCACTGCTTTGATTCATTCATTTTTTTTTTTGCATAAAAATCTCTTTGATATTATTATATAATATATTATTCTCAAGTTCGATATAAATGTACATGGATAAAGGCAGATGTAAGATTCAGGACGGTGCAACTGGTTATTAAATGCTAATCAGTTTTCGATATTCGTTGACTCCCTTACACCGTACTCTTTCAAAAGGCACATTTATCTCTACATTGCTTTCGTTAAATATATCTTTTCGTAAATGGAAGATAGAAATTTAATTCTATTTCTATATTGATTTTTAAGTTAGTTATGTATATGATATGAGCTTCTACACGTAACTTACGATAAGTAACTTATATCGTTTCTTCATGGCATCGAAAATGTTCTATCGGAAAATAAAGAGAAACTTAATAAACTATTTTTACTGCTGTTTACAACCATCTTTTACACGACGTTTATGCTTTTCTTCATGAGCTTGGGACGGGGATTGCATTTGATTTCTTCGTTGTCCTTGTATAGGCATGTAACATGGAACATCATCGTTCATAAGCTCCTGTGGAGGTGTAGGCAATGCATATGTAGGACTTACTGTGCTACTTGAGCTACTTGAAGTGTTTCTGTGCATACTTCCATTGTATGTAGGATCAATAATTGCAGCTACGTTTTGCACTTCTCTTATATTTTCAACAGACTCATCTAACGTTTGTATTTCTTCAGGATCAGGATATTGTGGATAATTTAATGTTGGTTGTACTCTAGTCTTGCCTTGAGTGCCTTTCAATTCTAATCTATCAGGTCGTTGAGGCTTTTCTGTAAGATTCTGCTCCTCTAATTCTTGAAGTTGCTGCCGTTCTAGTTTTCTCTGCTTTGCTCTTTGTCTCGCTTTCCTTATTTTTGCTCGCTCCTTCTCCTGAAGCATTCGTGCAAGTTCTGCATCCTGTGCTTCCATCGCAATCTTTTGATCTAGCAGTAGTTGTTCATTAACAGGACCATCATGATTATCTATAGCATTTTCTTCTTCTTCCTGCTGCAGCTTTCTTGCTAATTCCTTTATTTAACAGATAAAAATTAAATTATGATAATGAATACTATAGATACATTGTTAGAATATTTTCTGAAATACCTCATCTTTCTCTTCTTGAATGTGTCGTTCGAGCTCAAGCTGTGCAGCTTCGTCGTCCAATCTCAATTGCAGCCTCATTTGCTCTTGCAATTCTCTTTCTCTCTGTCTCTCCTCTCGTTCTAAGGACAATGCAATCTGTTTTGCAACAAGAGCATCTCTTTCCTCTCTAAAATCAGAAACACTTCAATACGACATAAACTTTAACAAATCAATACAATCAAAGGTTCAAATACTAACTGCTGTTGAATATAGGATTGATATCTAAGCTCTTCCAGCTCCTGTTCAACCTTAGCCCTTGGTAAATCCTCTCTAACTTGTGCATTGCGAACTTTGTTGCTTGTGTAGTGTTCCCTAACTATAAGGCACAGTGCAATAAAGATAGTAGCCAATAAAATCAACAATATTTTACAAATAATGTAATATTCTTACTTTCTTCGTCTTGTAGACGATAAGCGAGTGCTCCATCTTCGTGCACCAGCCACTCACGACACACTACAATATTGTCAAAGGAATGCTTATTAGGAATGCCAGGTAAATGAGTAATTCTAATGTAATTGCAATGAGTGACAGAAGGCGTTGAAAAAATGCAACATACCTTCGTTTACTCGGCCTGCCTTCGGTAATGTGTCCGAGCTCAAGACGGATTTCGCCATTTCTTATCGATTAATCGTTGCTTTACGGGTAAGATACTACTTTTCAGCCTACTTTCTTGTTTACAACCACCTTACGGAAAACATACGTTGTTTTTTCTCCATCTTGAATAGGAATGAATAGAATAGAGGTCTGTATTTGTGCTATTCCCACCGTACATGTGCATTTCTCCATTCACGGTGTAGGTAAGAATATCCGTAAAGCACATTGAAGACGTAGTACGAGCTGTGAGTACACATATATACCGACACACTTTCAAGCCAAGCTTCACTGAATCTAAGTGATAGGTACGGTACTACTCGTGAGTTGTGAACAATTTTCTTAGCAATTATTTTATTAAGAAAGCATCCAATTTTTAAATTTAATAAATAAAAATATATTATTCAGTTTCAAGTTAGTGTTAAAACTTTATCAGAAGGATTATATTAAATTAGATTAGGTTGAGATCAGATTTCAGTTCATTTTAAACATATTTAAATAAATAGAAACAATATCACTTAAAATTATTGTTTAAGAAATTGTTGACCCTAAAAATAGCCTGTTATTTTAACGCAATCTAGACATAACTAACCTTTTTGGCAAAATTTCATTATTAAGTGGATTAAACATTAAATTTACAAAAGTTGCCCTTATTTCTTAAAATAAGATTGTAGTCAAATATCCAAACTTAACGTTACTAAAACTGTATATATAATTAAAATTTTCTTAATTCTGTAATAGCATACTAGTATTTTTTGCAACTTCTGTAAAAGTTACTAATATATAGTAATAAATATTGGTTTATTTCATATAGTTGTCTAGAAATATATTTGCAGGAAATTGTCTTAGCAACTGTTAGGTTAAACTCATCACTACTTCATTTAAGATTGCTATGTGGTAGTAATGGCATAGTTGTGGTAGTGTTTGTAGTAAGAGTAGTAAGGCGAGCGTACTCACGTCGAACGTTAGTGAAGTGGATAGTAGAGTTTCCTGTATTAATGTCACTTTTAAATTCAATACATAGTACGGTCTGTAAGACTAAATTCTGTGTTCGCTCATAATGAAAGATGATGACAGATTTCCCTTTACTTAAAAAAAAAAAGAAGTTCTGCACTAATCGTTGCGATGATATCTTTCGTTATCTATAATTTGAATCGTGTTAATAAAAGAATTCACTGAGCAAGATGTGAATCGGAGCGGGACGTATTATCCTGAAGTAGACTATACGTTGTAAATATTATTTAAGGTAGATGTTCCACTATCCAAGGAATTTAATTATGAATTTCATGCATTTTTTTGCATGAAATGAATGTAAAACATAAGATTGATTCGTTAAGTAATGTACATCTTTAATGGATATTTTAATGAGCAATTCTCGTACAGAAATTTAGGAAATAAACAAGTTTCAAGCGAGTGTTCTGTTCTTATATGTGGAAACAAATAATATATTCAAGTATTTGTATAAATGAATTAACTTCTAAGAAAGTAATTTTACAATAAGAAGATACTGATGCTGAAAATCATTTAATCCCTATTTCTTCTGTTGCAGGTAAAGAATTTCATCTCCAAATTTCAAGTGGCTCATGGCAATTCTTCATCCGAAGAACAATGAAAACTCATTTATTATACTTATTAATAAGAGAAATTATATTATTTTGTTAGATTATATTGCATTACTATACAAATAACAATATATTATCTTTATATCATTCTGTATAGCCTGAATTACGTTTAATAAATCGAAAAATACAAGGAAATCAGTGTGTTTTTAATTTAAAAACTGTCAAAAAATTTCCTTTCCTAGTGAGAAAACATCCTCGCCCAAAAATGACGTGAAATTCCATGAATAAATGTACGAGGAAATAATAAAATAGCAATAAAATTTTCATTCCGAAAAATGACGTCATATTCTAAGAATTGTCGAACTTGTGCCACCTCCTATGATGTTATGTTCTCCTGATACAAAACCGAGAAGCTGGGAAAATTTTTTGCGAATTGCTTTAATTTTCGATTTGTAATATTATTTTGACTTCATCTCTTTTGTTTAAATTTGTGGTTTATAGAACTTATTATTTATATGGTGATGGTTTTGATAAATAAAAAAGTTTGTTTAAATATATAAATTGTTATTCATTATTTCTGTGTAAGTGTAAAATTCAATTTAATGCAGATAGTAATCATATATGATATATTGTTTATAATAATTTATTTGCACTATAATCTAATATGTAATATAATACAATAAATAATAATATAATATAATAATATAGTAATGAACATGTATTATTATTTAAATAATGTAGCATTGATTGTTGATTGTTGATTGTAGATTATTGAAGATGTAAAATTGAAGTTTCTGTAACATAGAGAAACAAATATTAATTTTAATAGAGAAAACTAAAAATGTGATTTATATAAAATTAAATTAAAATTGAATGGTATTAATTTATAGTTAATAAATGTACTTCAAATTATTTAAAAAATGTATGCTATTGTTTCACATCTACTTCATTTTATTTGTTATAATCTGGCTAAAATATATTTTGTTTGTTAATAACTATGATATTAATATCTGTGAATACGTATTCGTTTATAAAAGATGAAGTTCAATTTTTTATATCGTTTATTACTAGTTTCTAAATGCTGAAAATAAGGAGAAACGCAATTTGTGAAATTTTTACATTCTAAAAGAATACCATTTTTTCAAACTTTGTGGAATGCTATTTGATTTAATTCTGTTGGCGATCTATAGTTAAAGTAAGGTTAAAAACTAACCTGCGATTAATATTTGATAGAAATGGTGAATTACATATTTAAGTAAGATAAAGTTACATAAATCTTAGAAAATGCTGTGTTACAATGGAAAGCTTAGTTTCTTTTGTTTTATCGCCGCTGGTTTAATCGCAATCCTACCAGAAGTATTGTTAAGGTTAGAATTCAATGTTTTTCAAGAATATTTTAACAACATTTGGTTTACGCATTTATTTCAATATGGATTCTTAAATATACTTGTACTTCTTGCGTTTCGCGACTTTGCTTATCAGGTATTTTAAATATATTACTATTATAACGATTCATTTATGTGAATTATTATGAAGACATCAATTTATTTTATGAATACTTACATTTAACAGGTTGCTGTAAGGGCAGTTCTCCTAGGATATGCCTTTGGTATTGGGATTATTGTGTCCTTTGTTGCACCATCTTCATGGCAAATGTTCGGAGTATATATCACTATAATGGCAATATTCCATTACACAGAATTTCTAAGCATAGCTTGGATAAATCCATCTACTCTTTCCATCGACAGTTTTATTCTAAATCACAGCATAGCTTATGGAGTAGCAGCATGTTCTAGCTGGATAGAATTTGTCATAGAAAGGCATTATTATTCCGCAATGAAAGAATCTTCTTTTATATCATACTTTGGACTTGTACTATGCATTTGCGGGGAAGTTTTGAGGAAATTGGCAATGTTTACTGCCAAGCATAATTTTAATCATATTGTGCAGAGTGAAAAGATGGATAGTCACGAACTGATTACGTATGGAGTTTACAGAATTTGCAGGCATCCTAGTTATGTGGGCTGGTTTTATTGGTCTATAGGAACGCAGGTAATAATCTTTCATATTAAATATGTATAATATTTTACTGAAGTATAGACAAGTTTTATATTTGTCTTTGTAGCTAATACTCCAGAATCCAGTTTGTTTCCTTGCATACACTGGAGTATCTTGGAAGTTCTTCCACGATCGCATTTTAATCGAAGAGATCACTCTGCTTAATTTCTTTGGGCAGGATTACGTAGAATATCAGAAGAAAGTTAGTACAGGACTACCATATATATCTGGTTACAAGCTGAATTTATAGCAGCCAGTATGTGTCTGAAACACTCTATCAATTCCTCAGGTTTAATCTTAACATTATTTGTACTGACTATGTTTTTTATTGTACCTCAAGCAACAATGCAATAATTAAGGGAGGTTTTCTTAACAAAATTATATTTATTGTCTCATTTCATTTTGAAGAATTATTCATATAACAATAGACTACACTTTCATTATATGGTTACTTTCAGTTGGTAGATTATACACTTTCTTTTTATATTTATGCTTATTACATATATGTGTGTGTGTGTGTGTGTGTGCGCGCGTGTATATATATATACATATATATATATACGAAATGCAAAGTAATAAATATAATGCTGTAGCTAACATTTGCATTGACATTTAGAAAGCATTCGTTCGATGTTGGATAATAAGAAAGTTTTAGAGATTTCAGCAATGTACTTACAATATCATTAAGTCTGTACATAATCATTTACAATATTTTAGTATCGACAAAGCTTTTTGATATACTGATGTTAATTATCGATCTTGCCTTGATGATTCATGGCCTATATATTTTTATTATTGTGAAACCAAAGAATGAATTTAGATTATGAGAATTTTACTAAGAGAATATGTAGTATTATTTATAGATAGAAAAAAGAAAAATGAAAAATAATTGAATTATCGTTGTGCATTAGACTTGAGTCACACAAAATGTATATTATCATATTTTGTTTGTCATACGAATCTAGAAAATGCCCATGATTGTTACTACTTTCCATGTGAGAGAATCTGCATTTTTTAATTGACAGTTTAATAGGCAAATGCACTAACAAAAGGAAATAAATGACAATGTATCGTTGTAATAATTCATGAATAAACAAATAATAGTAATCTGTAAATGTATCGTTTGTCGAATCTTTCATTTAATCCTTACCTATTCGTTTTTTATGCAATATTTCCTCTGAGAAATAGCGGTTATACAGAATGTAAGAAAACGCTAAGGTTTGAGAGACTAATTATAATTATTTACACACTTCCGTCGCATTTTCATTGAATACAAATCTCCTTAGAACTAGCAACATATTTTACTAGCACCGTATCTTAACTATGCAAATACTTGTAAGTAACTTTCCTTTGTTAGTATCACATAATGAAGTTTTAAGTGTTTCAATAAAAAGAAAGGAAAACAAATTTGTATAGAAGTCATAGAACAATCAATAATAGGGCCTATCATTGGTCCAGATAAATGTTGGAATAAAAATTTTACTTTGTAATACAACTTATTTCTTATGTTTTTCTATATGTCGAAGATAAACATTCTCAATTCAAAGAGAATTTGTTGTAACGTTACAACTAGAATTATGAACTAATGGAGCCATTTTTAGTGTTTGCTTAGCTAAAGATTAGAGGAAGTCTATGGGAAGTTAACAACTCAGACAATGGCAGTGAAAACTTATGCATGACATAATATAATATTATTGTATCCATTCGCAGTCGCCTCAACGTTCATTCTTTGAACATGGCAGTCAATTGAAAAAAAAGCATTGTCAGATAAAAAAAATAAAAAAGGGAATAGGATTGGCTAATATGAGGAAAGAATCTATCGTACTTTATAAAAACAAAGAACTGTATAAAATGTAGTTAATTCGGTTATAAAATGTTGTCAGAAACATATTCTGTACACGTACAGATATAAAACTGCTTATACATATATCATTTGCCGTGGTAGGCTTTACAAACTGAATAATATAATTGTCCCTTCACTTAAATAAACCACTTCCATATCTTTCCAAGGTCGCCTCTTGTTGGAAGTCTATCGTCCAAATAACTATAAAACAAAAAGGAATAAAGAGAAAAAAGGGTTATTAAAACATTAATAATCCTTACTTGTTAAAATGTTAATAATTTACCTTGTCCTCAATGTTAACGAAGCGTTAAACAATTTACAAATTGGATTAATTCCATAAGTTACCAGAGAATACGTGTTTCTTCATTATTAAATCATTGTTGAAAGGACACGTATTCACTTAAACAAGACCTAATCCAATTAAATAACACTTAACTCAATATACATTTCATCGCATTTATAGTGTCTATGCATAATACTGTGAAAAGCACGCTCTGCTCTCGGATATCCATGGTGAAGGCGAGCAGATTTTGAAGTAGGATTAACAATGAGTAATTTTTGATACTGTACGCAGCCAAATTTGCCGCTGGTTTAGGGTGGATTATATTGACAGGAGGTGGAGGAACAAACGCGTCGAAGATGTCCGTATCCGCGTTGGTAAATACTAAGGAAGAGGGTATCCATCTTGCTCTAAGCAGCATGAAAGATTAACAGACCATTTTATACAGTTTCCATGTTGTTTTCTTAACAGAAAATTATTTTTTCATTTACCTAGTGCATGGTGAAACGTTCTTTCCCCTTATAGATTTTTCTCCAATGTCTATGGCCCCAGAATCTTGCACCTCCATGGTGTAAATGCAACCAGAAAATCCTTCTTGATATTTTCCATAAGTCATAGCATAGTCTGGCACTCCACCTAAGTACACACTGCCTCTAGCATTCAAATCTTGCTGTGTTCCATAGCTAGCACTGCTCTCCATGTGTTCTCCATTTAATTCTATGCTTCCATCACTTCCCTGGCGCTTTAAGATTATTCTGTGTCGTTCTCCATCATCTACCTTCTGTGCAGTGACACGAATCACTACTGGTCCTGTACCCAAGTTGTATTGATACTCTACATAACTGAAAATAGCAGATTAAATAAAATATTTATTCTAAAAACTGGAATAGAATACTTATTGCTTGCAAATGAATTCATAAATTATTGTGTTTAATTAAAAAGAATGTTGTTAATTACCCATCAACCACAGCAAGAGCCATGTAGTGATCAAGATTAAGATCATTTGGCGTCTGCCCATGCCACATGATCAGTCCTTTGGTCTTGTTCGTTGAAATTTCGAAACCTAACACTTCACGTTCTTCTTCATGGGCCATTACAGACTTATCTAACTCTAACCAACCATCCCCTCTGAATGCAACATCGTAAGTTACCTCCGCCACTGAAAATCAAAGAGAAATTAATAAGATTGTAAAATAAATATTTGTATTTAGTACTAAAATTGATTCTCTGAAATACTTACACTTTTCACAATTCTGTCCATTGTAGCCTAAGCGACAATCGCATTTGTAGGACCCATGGAGGTCTGTACAAGTGCCTCCATTTCTACAGGGAAGCAACAGTTCACATTGCTTCAAAATGTTCTCACAGTTTCTTCCCACGTAGCCGTATTCACAGGTGCATGAATAGTCGTACGAATCAGTATTCTGACACATTCCATGAATGCAAGGATTGGAGGCACACGGATCATAGGGAGTTGTAGTGGATGGTGGAATAGTGATTACAGTAGTCAACTTGGTTTGATTAGGATGTAGAACATTGCAGTCATCTATGTTTACTGAATCCAAGGCAGACTTTAGGATGTCTACATTCATCGAAGACACTCCAAGCTGAGAATATAATAGAATATGTTTTATTTGGATAATTCTATCAAGAATCTTCTGAAAAAGTTTATGATGAGCTTACATCACTGATGCAACCACGAAAAGTCCTATCTACACCGGCATTTCTGTTCACTATAATTCTTCTGCGATCAACGCCTCCAATATAGAGTAGTGTATTAAGCGTCATGGTGCGAGCAGTCCCGGGAGACTTGCCTCCTATTGTAGGTTCTCCATTTATAGTCAAATTCCCCTCCTTGAAGTCCCTGTTGATGGAGACATGTGTCCATACACCAGGTTGAAGAACATGGTTTGATCTAATGATCGCCAGGCCAGAACCAATGTCGTATCGAAATTCGACACGTTCATCCTTGACTACCAACGCAACGAAGTCTCCAAGTCCCTCTTCACTTTGAGCACAATACATCAGTATGCCATCTTGATTGTCCAGAGGATTGAAGTTCATTGCTACTTTCAATCTGTAATAACATTGGAAATATTAAAGTCATTGTCCTGATTTAACATTAGATGTAGAAATTAGTTCCTGTTAGTAGGAGAAAATATTAGAATTAATGGGAGAAAATACATTGGAGGGACACACAATTTTCCTTTTGAAACGTGACTTACCCTCTTTGATGTTCATAAACTACTATGAAGGCAGGTAATCAGCAAAATGACAAAAATCCTGTTAAATCAATTTTTATTTGCATCTCAAGACATATATTTATACTTATAGCATCACTCGAAGCCCGTCGAAATACATATAAACGGTCATTCTGGCCCTAGAAACACACCACTTATGGCACATACATCAAACAGGTTCTTACAAAATAAGTACAAACATCTTAAGATGTGCCTGATATTAAGTGTGTGTGTGAATGTGTTGAGTGTGTGCTTAGTACACAAATCGCGTATAATGCCACAACACAATAATGCCAATAATAAGCTCTTGATACTACTGTAAAGTGCCTTTCTTGTTTGGTAGTGATCTTATTAATGGTTTACTTTAAACAATAATTAAAATAACTAACACGCGTTAAACATGCGTTAAAATGTATTATTCAAGAAGCTGTACAAAAAACCCTTTATGGTCCAAGATCCAACGAATCGAATGGCATCTTAATAAAAAGAGAGCTCTATCGACAAGAATTGTTTCTGAAATAATGTTGCTATGAAAATAATTACTTGGACCTGTAAAAGGTTGTTATATGAAAAGTATAACGTAAGTATATTAATTGATACTCTAATATTACAGCACCATGAGGTTCATTCCAAGGAACTACTCACTATACAGGCTTCAACATAATCATCTATGACACGTATGAGGCAGACACAAAAAAATCTAATTGTAAATAAAATTCTCATAAAAAAAATATATATAATACACATATAATATATAATATGCTGACTAACTATAAATAGCAGTTACATAAGAATCGATTCGTTCTCTACAAACATTTAATAGTTATAAATGACTTTTCCTTCGTTTCTTTTTTTCTTTTTTATCATTATGTGCATTGAAAGGGTTTGGTTGTGAAAAAAAGGACTAATGTTTCGTGTGGTGCAGCTTATTGTGGTGATGTGGCCTTGATCGTGGATTTCTAACTTGTGCGTTGCGTGCTCGTAATCGATCGTATCTTTTGGTTGGGTTCATTCTCGGCCTGAAAATCATTGTTCCAATTAAGATCAGGGATTTCCTTTTATTGGGGGCAAGTTAAAGTGCGCCTGAGGAACCTTTAGAGAGTCTTTGTATCCATCGATTAACATTTAAACATACATATAATAAATTGTTTAACATGAAACTCTAAAGTAAAAACTTTCTAATTGTTTACTGACAAATATAAAAAATAAGGGACATATGCAGCAAAAAAATTGGGCTAACTTTTCTAATCATGCATCATGCACTGTTCAGATACTTACCGTCTAAGAGCTTTAGGTGTATCGTGTGCTATATAGGATTTATCGTCATGGAAGGCTGGTTCATAGACCTTCATCGTATTCTCGCAACGAGCACCGGTTGTTCCGTAAGGACAATAGCATTCGAAGCCCGTTTCCTTGTTTATGCAATCGCCTTCACCACATGCACCTATAATTATAGACAATTACAATTGTACAGATATAAAAACAAAAGACAAAAATGAAAAAATAAAAAGTAATTAAAATATATTTTTACCTGGATAACAAGGCTGTCCAACATAGTCACAGTGCTTGCCACTGTAGTCAGCACGACACAGACAAATGTATCCATTCTTTGTAGCAGCTTCTTGACATACACCACCATTGTTACAAGGATTTTCAGCACAAGTTTCACAGTTAGTGATCCCAGAGCTATCTGTCTGATCACCAATCAGATCAATTTCCTTTTCTCCAATTACCAATCTACTGATACAGCCAACGAAACCACTGTTGATCTCTGCATATTTGGTAATTATGGTACCACTGGGGACTCCACCCACAAACAATAATGATTTCATATCCAATCCTTGTTTTCTGCCATCTGCGATACCTTTGTAAGGGCCTTCACCATCGACTAACATGGTTCCCTCCTTTCTGTGACGTTGGAGTTTTATAGTATGCCACTCTCCAAGTGTTACAGGCTTTTCTGCCCGAATCATAGTTGGTCCAGAACCAAGATCAAAGCTAACATAGGAAAATTCTTATTATAAATGCAATTAAAGAAACAGAACCCACACAAAAATTTGTTTCGCGTTTAAAATATTACAACTAGATATGTTATGTATCTTTGCATATCATGCACGTTCTATACATTATTGCATTTTAATTGCATATTAGTTATATTTTTAAGTTAGTTATTTTTAAGTTAGTTATTGATAATTACCTAAATTGTGGGTAGCCTCTAACCAGTGACAACATAATAAAGTCTCCATTTCCACGGTTGGATTCATCATTGTACAGGATTATACCATCATAGCTCTGTGGTTTGAATGAGATCTCTATGTTGAATTTCAGATATGAGTCAGCTAGTGGAGGTAAAGCGATGAAACTTTGAGGTGCCTGACTGAAGTATGGAACTACTCCAGTTACGACAAGCATAGTCGGTATTTCTATATTTTCATGGTCGTTGTTCACAGTGCAGATGTACGTGCCTGCATCCTCTGCCTTGACGTTGGTTAGCTTCAATTTGCTCTAAGAAGGAAAAAGATAATACATGGAGTCAGAATGTCTTCTGCTATCGTTTTTAATTATGATTTTTATATTATGATTATCGTACCTCAAACACTTGAGCGTCAGGTTGCAAAATACCTCCTAGTTTGCTCCAAGAGAACGTCAGTGGTGGATCGATGCTAGGACGACAATCCATTTCTAGACTGGAGCCATAAGGAGCAAGCTTGGTTTCAATTGCTGGAGCATCGTTGTTTCCACCTAATAAAAGAATCCTCAATTGAAGATGTATATTTTTGGAGCTTTGAACTTATTGTATATACTTACATTGAAGCATAATTTTGTAAGCATAAGTATGAAATAAAGACTTTATTAGTTTACTATATTACTTGAATGATCAATAAATAAAGTATAAAGATTAGAATACTGGGAAATAAATAGAATAATAGAATAATTAAGTATGAAACATTACCATGGACAACAAGATTGAAGTCCTGCTCGAAGGTACCATCAGGAGTATCTGCAGTGCATCTGTACAGTCCACTGTCACTGACAGTCACGTTAGACAATCTTAAAGTGTTTCCATGCACTTGAGCATTTTGTGGCAGACTAGAATGGTTAGGTCTGGACCAGTAGTAACGTGGATTATGAGTTCCAGAGCATGCACAACGTATGTCAATGTTATCCCCAATGTTCACTGGATCCTGAGAGACTTCCACACTGACAGCAGGTATTGTAGTTGCTAAAATATAAACAATAGAGTTAGCAGAATGCATTGAAAGTTATTTTTAAAATGTATGAACGTGAACCCCTTTCCATTATTGCTTCCTATGACATTGAGTTTAGGATAAATCTAAAATGACAATGGATATCATTTGGATCAGGAGCAGGCTATTCTACAGAATAACGAACACATGTGGAAGATATTAAATAACCTTGCTAAGATGTTAATATCCTTTTCTATGATCATTGTGCAAAGTTTCTAATTCTCTCAACCTTTAGTACCATGAACACAACGATACAAAGTGTAAGGTAGTGACGGGATGAAGATCTATTTCGCAGTCAGACTGTGTTCCTGATTTTTTTCTATTAGGGTAGAGATAGTTTGAGAGGAACAGTAAGAAAATGTTAATCTTGTTCAACAAAAGAAGGAGAAAAGCATTAACTGTCCAATAGACATCACAAATCGGGAACACATAATTTGTTGAAACAAAACAAACCGCCTAGTTGTTGAAGATAGTGGGGAATCCACCGTTTGCTGTTGAAGTAGTAGCGGTTATCAGGATAGAAGATAGCATTCACATTGCAATAGTAATCCAACAGAAAGCATCCTTGAACGCTGCAGACGCAACTGCTTTCCCTGCACTGCATTGGGTTCACACGCGTGCAATCCGTACGCAAATTAAGTACTAATAAACAATACCGCGACAACCATAAATAAAAACTGTGTCCATCGAATCTGTATCATGACTTGCTGATGATTAATTTTGCTCAAATTGAACTGAATTGGATTCAATCCAAAATGATTCATGCTCAGGTACAATTTAGCACATTCAGGTACAATACATACCCTTCTAGTCATAGTTTTTTGATCGTATGTTGTCTAATTATATTACTTGATTTGTATCGAGAAAAATGAAAAGTATGAAAGTGAAGGAAGAACACCATGCATGATGTGATAGAAACCATGGATTTCAACTTACGTGAGACATTTAAATTAACATAATCACTGGAAACCCCATGAGAGGTTTGGGTCTGGCAGATGTACCTTCCACTGTCTTCCAGTCTTACTCTAGGTAGATCCAAATAATCGTCTTTGATTCTAGCATTAGGTGGCAATGGCAGTCCTTCCCTGGACCAGTGTATTGTAGCTCTATCGCTGACCATGCATCGTAAACGCACAGGTTGTCCCACATATGTAACCATGTCTCTTTCGAGATGTCTGACTTCTGTGTTCTCGTAAGGATTTTCTGAAATATATGGATTATAGCAGGATTACATTTCATTTTATAGCTATATATTAGAGCTCCATTTATCTGAACTCAGTGGAAGTGTTTATTAGTGTTTGATTACAAGGCTGCGTTTACCAGAAGGTGCATTAAGCGCAAACTGGGATCTCACTCTTGTGGGACCAAATTTTACGACTTAACTTTAAAACCTATAACTATATTATGTTATATAAAAGTATAAATGCGGCCCTGTTTGATTGCATAAACTCCTCTTATATGCTCACTGGCTAAGTCATTGTCCCAAAAATGAAGTCTGATGAATGGAGTTTTATTATAGAACTATTAGAATCAGAGTACGTATTACGTACGATTCACTAGAACTTCGGCAACAGCTTCAGCAGTTCCTGCTTCATTGGTAGCTTTACAAACATATTTTCCCGCGTCAGAATAAGTGATTCCATGGAACTGGAGAAGTCCACGATGGTGTGTCACCGAATGAGGTAAGCTACGCCCTATGGCATCCCATTCTATGTTCATTGGTTCGTCACCAGTGGTACGACATTCGATTGATGGATTTTCTCCGGATCGGACTGTTTGTCTTGGTGGGATTAACACAATCCTTGGTGGAGCTGCAACAATATATAAACAAATAATTTTTAATTCTGTGATTGTTCAACTCGCACATAAGGCATTGTAAACAAAAGTGGATTAAACTTAATTAATCATACAAAAGTAGGAGAATTCATTAAATTAAATTAAAAAATTAAACTAAATTAAATCGAGATATTATGTCACATAAAATAATGAGATCAATTGTTGCGTTAAGTACTTTATATTCATGTCTATGGTAAACAAAGAATTATTCAATTTGCTGAATACTTGACTTAACCCACTTCTGTTCTCATATTATGTAAGCAAGACAAAGCTCGATCGAAGATCTTACATAATACTTCAAGGACAGATGTGGCTCTGAAGAGAACATTTCCAGTTAGGTCTCTCCCAGTGCAAACGTACTCTCCTGCGGCGCTTTTATCCACGACAGGGATGATCAGTACACCATTGTCAACGGAATTACCAGCTGGCAGTGGTCTATCGTCCGCCCTTCTCCAATCCAGATAAATTCTGTGTCCATCGGAATCTTGCACGTGGCAACGCATTTCCACCTTGCCGCCATCGGGGATCCTGAGGTAGTCCGTTCGTATAGCGTTATCATTTCCGTCCTACAACGAATATTTCAATGTTTCATTAATACTCATCATATTCTTAAGCTATGGTTACAGCAGATACGTGTTCTGACAAATGAACGATATCAAGTGGTTAGTGTTTAAATATTTTTGTGAGCTATTGTAAAAATACCACAACAAGGAACATGTACAATTACAGGACAATTATAGGAACACGTACAATTACAGGACAATTATAAGAACACGTACATTTATATCCTCTACTCTGATATAGACTCGTTCCTCAGTAGTTCCTACTCTGCTACTTGCATGGCAGATGTATGAACCTTCGTCACTCGAAGAAGCGGAGTGTATTTCATAAACGGCCTGATGAGGGGCTGCCAATTCATTGGTTGTACTATTGCAGAAAAATCCAGCGGTTACCTCTGGCTTTTACTTTTCACTATTATTATTAGACTGCAAGTATTTATGCAAATTCATATTTTCATGGATGCAACTAAGAGAGTATGCTGTACTTTCATCTATAAAATATTATACCTAGTACTGTTTCTTGGACTTTTACTTTATGTTTACCTCATATAGTATGTCAGAAAAGTAATGAGATTGATGTCGTTTTTCGGGAACTGGTAATTTTATGGTGTTATATAGTTTCTGAAGAATATTTTAGAGGGAACAAAGTTCATTTGTACTTGAGGTATTTGCAGATATATATTTTCAGAGTATCAGTCCGATTACTTTCCTCACACACTCTGTAACGGAATACATAATAAGCATAATGCTTTTTAGAATTCTTGGTAGATAAAATCATTTTCTATCAAGGTTCTTATAACTTTCTACCTTTTTAATTATGTTCTGATGAAGTTGCATGAAAATCAGCAGTCTAATTATAAGATCTTCCTTTTAAAAAGTAACTTACAGTGATACTACGTTCGGATGTCTGCTCCAAGTAACTGAAGGTTCCGGAAATCCATTTGCGCTGCATAGTAGTCGTACCCTATCTCCAGGTCTCACGTGCAGCATTCCAGATTGGGGCGATATACTGATGACAGGCATGGATTGAACTTCTACGTATACCATGGCTGAATTCGTTCCGGCGGGATTGATAGCGGTACAGACGTACGACCCACCATCGCTGGCTGTGATGTTGGTTAGTCTCAGAACACCACCAGGAAGTTGTTTAATATTATGGGGCAACGGTCGACCAGATTCGTGAGACCAATGTAACTCTGGCATGGGGATTCCAGTTGCTCGACATTGGAGATCCGTGGACCCATCCAGAGTAACTGGAGGGACATTCTTGGGATAGATCTCTACCAATGGAGGTTCCCTGCCTGTTTAAACAAGCCCAATTAGTGAAATAAAAGTTATTCCTAAACGATTCTTAAGCTTGTGTGTGAATAGATTATAATACAATTAGTAAATTTTAATTTTAATTCTAATATATTCATCTACGAGTCAAAGATCATTATACAAAGATATATACATACAAAAATTTACTAAAGCAGTGATACGTGGTTCGATTACTGGACAATTTTGTGTAAGGAACAGAAAATTTAATATTTACTCACGTTCGACCTCGATCATGGCGCTAGCTTCGTGAGTTCCACTTGGTCCAGTGACTCGACACACGTATATACCCCTGTCAGCAATTTGGATGTCGACAATTCTCAAAGTGTCTCCTACTTGTCGTACATTAGAGCTTAGCGGTTGAAGATACTTGCTCCACGTCAAATGTTCACCGGGTTCTCTGCTTGTTAGACACCTTATTTCAGCTATGTTGCCTTGAGGAACGGTCTGTTTCTCAGGCGTCACCTTGACAAACGGTGCTGGTGTTCTAGACGTTACTGTTATGTTGATAGTGCTGTTAGTCATTCCTATGTAGCTGGTCGACGTACAGACGTAGATACCGGAGTCATAAGGGGTAGGATTTACAATTGTTAAGACACCATCACGTTGGCTGGCTGTGTGAGGTAGTGGGTTTCTTTCTCTAGACCAGGTAAGATTCGTTATTAAAGATGTCACGCACGTTATCACGATCGTTTCTCCAGGTTGACCGAACCATTGTGACGGGGTGATGGTTGGTGGTATTATGGGTTGAGTGGATTTTCCTATAGACAAAATGATCATCTTGTAAGGACTATTTTCTTTATAGCACAATATTAAAACTGTCAATGGAAGTGTATTTGCTAACTTCTGTTAATTTCCTAATTTTAATATCATTCTACAATTAAAGATTGTTAGATGCAAAAACACAAATCTCTTGAAAACATCTTACAAGGTAACGACACAAGAATGGAATGACAGTCAACGGTACCTTCAACATGAAGAATGACAGTTCTCTCGTCCACGCCAACGTTATTCCTTGCCACGCATTTATATTCGGCGGCATCGTACCTCGAAGCAGATCTAAGGAGCAAAATTCCATTGTTGACCACTACACCCGGGCTCATGGGACCATAGACACGAATCCATTCGACTCGTGGCGGGGGATTTCCAGTTGCCTCGCACCGGAATTCCGCTGGTTCTCCTTCCATTACTTGTAAAGATGATGGCTCGACGATAACCCTTGGTGGAACTAAATTTGAGTGTTTAAATAGGAGAATAAAATTATCCAAATGTAATCAAGATAATTAATGTATTGTGTTAATGTCGTTCTGATTAATTGACTGTTGCCTTATCTGGCATCTTCTCACTTTTCAAAATGTGGAATATTGGAAGTTGTATCATTATTTTACTTATTATGTATCATCTGCCAAATTAAACCTAAGTATAGACGCAGATAGGACATTTTATTGTAGCATTATATGTTGCTGTGGCATGTTGTAGCATTGTATGTGTAGCTAAGTTATTACTACTGGTATCTAAGCTAAGATTCGTGTACCTGGAATGTCCAGCAAACTTCGCGGGAAAGCTGCGTCCGGATGAATTATACGATACTCAATAATATTAATAAAATATGTACGAAGGTGAATATTTTTTAGTAGTCAAATTCTTTTTATGTTACCTCCAACAGTGAGAGTGACGTTCTTGTAACCAATATGTACTCCATCGCTGATTTGACAAATGTAAATGCCGCTATCAGACACTTTCAAGTCTCGAATGATCAATAAGCCACGCTTGTCGTCTATGCTTCTTCCTATTGGTAATTCGTCACCTTCTTTTTCCCATCTGATGTGCAAAGATCCCTGTATTCCAAGAAATATTTAATACATCCACCGCACATATCTTTCCAAATGATTTATTTATTTTTCTTACATTGTCCGTTCTTTCAAAGCAATGGTACCTAACAGTACCTCCAGCTTCAACGATCTGGAACTCGGGTTCTCTGATATAAACCACAATCTTTGGTGGATTTAAGGGTGGACGACTTGTCGTGGTGGTCGATATTGTGCCTTCTGTAAGAAATACCATAAAAGTTAAAAGAAGCATGTCTTTGGAATCATATAACATAGAAACATATAAATGGAAATAATGAAGAAGGACTTAATTGTCCAAATCCAACATTTTACACTCAGTTTGATACAAGAAGCCCATTAACCAAGGTTTAACCAAGGAATTAACCGGACCAACAAATCAAAGTGGTCAAAAAGTTAGAAGATCTATGAAATAGTCAGTAGTGAACATATGTGATCCATAGGTGTGACCAAAGGAAACAATCATATCCAATAATGAACTAAACTAAAACACGAATGAAGATGAAACCATGATGTTCCACCCTTCCAGGGACAAACACGAATATTCCTTTAATTTGGCTCATCAAACCTGGCGTGACCGTCGTTATAACTTTGATCAGTTCCGTTCCATGATCGTCCACGATGCAGCATATTACATTGAAAGGATTCTGCTGGACGTAAACGTACCAGCTCCTCCACGATCCATTAGTAGTTCTTTCAATGGGCCCTGGTGGCATGCTGGACGAAGTTAGTGGCCAGCCGTCGCACGGAGTCATTGAGAAATAGATATAAAATGGGTGTGGGGACTTGTAACTGCACGTGAACAGAACCCACGAATTTGCCTTTAACACGCTCGTCACTGGCGTTAGACTTACCATCAGCCCATCTAACCGATCCAAAATATTTCATTTAATATCTTCTTCATCCTAAATTGCTTTAGAGAATTTTCTTGAACCCTGACAAGCTTCCAATAAATCTAACAATAAGTACTTCGAAGTGTCTTTCATACGTACCAGTGTATTGACAATACTGGCCCACAAATCCTGGCTTGCAGTGGCACTTCACGTGGCCAGTGTGCGTCATCTCGCAGCTTTCCTCGTTGTTGTTGCAAGGACATAGGATGCAGGAGCCCAGGTAGCTGACGGATCGGTCGCTAGTGTCTCTGTAGTAACCTGTTGCGCAAGACTCGCAGGATGTTCCAACGTATCCGGTCGGGCAGCGACAAACTTCCACTTGGACAGCTCTTCTGTTGCCAGTTGGGTGCTCCACGGCTGTGTCCAGGCTTATGTCGCTAATGTAGGTGGCTCTCATTCCTTCGCTGTGGGTTGCACGAACCAAAATCGCCTCCAAGTTAGAGAGTACAGTCATCAGATCGGTCCTGGAGCTGACTCGAGGCCCCTCGGTGGTCAAACGCTTCCACTCTGATTCCCTGAATGGCACCGAGTAAGTCAATGGAACGTCAGGCTGGATGTCAATAGGATTCGTCCAGAACAACGTGATCCCATTTCCAATCAAGATAATATCTTGATCCTTGTAACTCTGAGCCCCAGGAATGGCAGTGATATGTTGAGTCAAAGTCAGACTTCCTCCGTAGCTTTTAACCTTGTTGCCAGTGAAAATGGGCGGCAGGGACCACAACAAGCTGCGTCGTCTGCTATCCGGATAACGATACCCTATTTCGTTCGTAGCCAAGTTCAATTCGAAATCACGGTGGTCGATGATTTCCTGTCTCGTCGAATCGGTTAGAGTAAATCCGTGTTGGTTGTCGTATACCCACATGGGAATCTGCTGAACGTATAAGGAACTCTCGTGACATTGATCGGTCAGTCCACTGCAGTAACACTCGCTACACCCATCCGGATTTTCTGCGGACAGTCCAAATGTAGCTGGACGACACCTGTTACACTGCCGTCCCTCGACGTTTCGTTTACAATCACATCTATCACCAATGTACAAGCTGCTACGTGAACCCATTTCGTTGCAATCAGTATGGTTTACCTCGCGACCTGTGCAATCGTAAGGAGTTCCTCGAGTCGCGTCACCCGTGTATCCTGATTCACAGAACTCGCACAAGTCGCCAGTGGTATGGTGAGCACAGTTCTCGCATACTCCCGTGTCAGGATTACATTGGTTGGAATGACCATTGCAGTAGCAAGGCTCGCACGTACCCAGATAGAGACCTTCGCCACCTCTAGTGTATCCAACATCGCAGTCCTCGCAAGATAGTCCCTTGTAACCCACTGGACAAGAACATTCCTCCACCTCTACGGCTCTTGCTCGACCTGTGTTGTACTTTTCAGCTGTATCCAGGGATACCAACGACAAAGCAGCCTCGTCGGTGTGGGTGGTATATGTGGCTTTAATCCTAATCGCGCGAATGTCAGCCAGGGCCATTAGCAAGTGTTCTCTGTCAGCCTGTGTTCCATCGTTGCGTTGCCAATATTGTTCTAACAGAGGTACGACGAAAGTCTGGGGAGTATTTGGCTCGGGAGACTCTTTGGAGAAGTACAGCAAGTTGATATCGTTGGCGCTGATCAACTCGACGTCAGCAGCGTTGTTTTTCGAGCTTTGACCACCTGGAGACGGAACATAGCGAACAGTATATTTGAGGTTGCCACCATAGGAGGTAACTTGATCGCCTAGGAAAATGCTAGGCAGCTGCCAGTAGTAAACATCGTTGTTCCCACGGTTAGGGAATTCGTTGTAGATGATTTCGCGGCTGACTGTGTCCAAACGAATACCGTCTGTGATTGGTAGACTATCTGGTGTTCTAGACTCGATGAGAGAGAAGTCCCTGACGGAATTGGTAAATGAAACTCGAATCTGTAAAACAGTACCGTCTCGTGACAATTCTGTAGGTAAAATTCTGTAGGTTTTTCATTAACTGCAACGTAAAATATACTCACGTCGTTTCTGTACCAGTTGGAGGAGACGCATTTGTCAGTAATGCCCATGCAAAAGCAGCTGATGCAGCCAAATTGATTTTTCGATGCCAAATTGAACGTGTTCGCCTTACATTGATTGCAAGTAAGACCCGTCACGTATTGCTGAAAACCAATACGTTAATACCATATGCATCAAAATCTATCCTTGAATCGTTCTAGTACTAATTCTCTTCATTTATCCCCCTGTACTTACTTTTAAACAGAGCAGGAATATTTCCGAATCAAACGACAGCATAAACAACATTGAGCACGTCATACAAACTTATTTTAACTTAAGTAAGCAACTAATTTTCTACCCTTTCACAAACGTATACTGGATTTCTAGACCAAGAAATTCAAAGTTTAATACCTTGCATCGGCACCTGCCGGTGTTAGGATCCGCGATCGTACTGAGACTACCATCAGGGTCACAAGAAGATTCGGGAACACACATGTCTCCTGGAATAAGAGGATTTCCTCGGTATCCAACGTTGCACTGTTCGCATCTACGACCTATGTATCCTGCTGGACAATCGCAGGTCGGCTGACCATCAGATCCAAGGTGACAAGTGCGTGCAAACCTGTTTCAGAGCAAGTTCAAGCAAATAGTTTTAACACAATTCTTTTAGACTTTAAGTTAATTAGTGATTGGACTGTGGATGTTTATGCACTTATAAGAAATTGAAAATTATAAAATACGCCAAGTATATTACTTGTGAAATATTGAAAGTATTCAGAAATATCTAAAGTGAAGTGGTCATAAAATGTCCAAACTACCTTGACGTATGCCAAAATATCCAAAGTATAGTGTACTAGTTAAGATATTTAGCGAACGAAACAAATCGGCTTAGCTTCCATTAGAAATATGTATGAATTTGCACGAATATTCGTAGTCTACTAATGGTATTGTCTTACTGATTGGATGGATTGGTGAGTGGACAGGGGCACATTTGGCAAGGAATGTTCCTCGCAGGATCTCCATAATATCCCAAAGGGCAACCAGGAGGCGCGGCTAAGTAACATTGACCAAGCCAAGGACCAGATTCTCGTCTTTCGTATCCTGGAGCACATTGCTCGCACGACAGGCCACTGTATCCTATATAAATATTGTATTTCGTAATCATTCTGAACATAGATTCGGAAAGTCTGACCGGTCTCAGTGAATCGAATTAAAACTTACCTATAGGGCATTCACATTCTTCCACATAAGAGGCCGATCCGAGTCCAGTATTCCTTACATCAGCTGTGTCCATCACTATGTTAGTGAGCCGGATATCCAAGTACGGAGAATCGTCATACTGTACTCTAACAAATAATTCTTTTGTCAATTTCGATCTGTGAATTTTCTAATAACTAGACTGCGTAATTTTATGCATTTGTGGGAAATTTGAAAGTGCAAAAATGTACAGAATGCATATAACGTGTAATGATATAGAAAATATCCAAAATATATTCAGCAAAGCAGTTGTCTACCTAGTATTATAATAGTATGAACTTGCATAAATATTTGCAGTACTGATAACTGGTACAAACAAATGATCCAAACGCTGGCCTTCAGTCACTGGAGAGGCACAACTCAACGTCTGGGTCATCGGTTTTGAATAGATCAAACTGGTTCGCATACTTGATCAAGATATTGTCCACGTTCTCCAGTGTCATCATGATATCTTCCCTGGTGGCAGGAACCTCAGCCCATCCTTGTTGCTTATACCATTCGCCATCGAAGAACCTGACAGCCTCTTCGTTATCGTAACCCGCTATTATCTGCTTTCCTTTATGCAAGAGTCGATAATTATTTCCAATCAGAATAACCGACGGCGCGGCGTTTGGTATGCCGGTTCCATTATAGGTTACTCTGTACTTCAGATAACCACCGTAGGATTTCAACTGATTTCCGTGATAGTTCTCAGGCATGACGAAGTAAGCAACTTCCTGTTCCTCTCTTGAACCCAGTGGCAGTTGGTTTGCATCGTACAGCTGCACTCCATCTCGACCTATACCTCTCACAGCTTGCACTTGTCTGGTGATGTCATTCAGAATTTGAAGATCCGGTTGAGTTTTCACGCTTACGATACTATGGCGGTCGAAAGGCGGTGGAATGTGATAAGTGAAGAGGTTGGCGCTGCGACATTGGGTAGCGACTCCGAAACAGAAGCAGGAAATGCACTCGTCTGCGGTTCTAGCTTCAGAGTTGAACGTTCCCTTGGGACAGATCTCCGGTCCGGTCTTGTTCACGATCACGATGGCGTCGGGAATGGCAATTACGAAGCCAGCGCTGTTCAGTGCCTCGCAGGAGTAGGATCCTTGGTTTTCTGGTTGCATGTCGGGGCATGAGAGAGTTCCAGTTCCGTTTATCGATGTCATGTAGCATTTGGGAGGAACGTGGCCCCAGTTGAGACGCCAGCTGATCTCGGGAGTGGGTACGCCAATCGCTGTGCAGGTTATCATTAAAGTTGTTCCTTGAGACACGATGATCATCGGTGGAGGTGGTTTCACTATGTAAACCGGAGCTAAATAACACGAAAAAAGAAAAAAGCTATTGCTTGAATCAAATTCTTTACAGATTCAGAATAGCAGTGCTCACTTAAATTCCAATAGAACTATTTCGCCTTAATTCGAATATTCTACTGTTGCCTACTACTCAGTGTCTCGAGTTCAGCTTAACTAAAATTCACTGACAAAGACGATACATAGATATAGTGCGAGTAAATGAGAAATATTATGTCTCTCTTACGTTTGTTCTCATCACTTTTGTCGAGGAGCTCGGAAGTACATATACCGCGAGAATTACAATGTGCTTTCCCAATGAATTGAAATTTAAGCGGCTACTGTATCTAGTAAAAGAACAAAGAGACACGTACAGCATCCTACTTCGTCGCTACCGTCTATGCAGTCCCTCTCCAAGTCACAATGATAGCTTTTGGGTATACATTGATCGTGGCTGCCACAGGCAAACTCTGTGAAGCGACAGGGAGTGCCTGGTGCGTTTGGAGCACAGTCTTCTTCGTCGCTGCCGTCGGCGCAGTCCTTGTCACCGTCACAGCGCCACACTTTGCTCACACACTCTGTGTTGTTGCAGCGGAACTGATTTGGCTCGCAACCGTGCGGACCTATTCAATGTAATGAATTTTCTCATAGAACCTTGTATGAGTCAGACTATGAATCTTCATACATTTAAGCGAGATTCGAAGATGCAAATATGCAGAATGTCCATAAAATATTCATAAAATAGGTGAACCAAATCTTTATTTAATCGGGTTTTTGCATAAATATTCGCAGTCCGATGTCTACGAATGATGACTTACTGCAACGCATCTCGTCAGAACCATCGGTACAGTCCAGTCTGCCATTGCACACGTATGATTTGGGAATACATTCACCATTGCTGCAGGTGGCTTCGTCGTATTGGCATGCGTGGGGTTTGTTGGTTGGTGGCGGCTCGACTGTACAGAGAACAAAAGTGATGAATCAAAATTACCCTTGTTGCGTTCTCCTTCAATTTTTCTTAAAAATTGCTTAAATTTGAAGATAGTACGAAAGAATAGTTCCTTGTTTCAATTCTGCCAATTTATTTAAACGCAATTCTTTTGGCTCGTTAAAAGAAGGGTAAGAATAGACGACACGAAGATCACAAGGCTGTGGCAGAATTAAGAGGAACTTTCGGAAAAAAGGCCTATAAAGCAATTGAAAACAGGAATAATTTTTTTAAATTTCAAAGCACGTACACTTTTCTACAGTGAGATACACGCTCACTTGCTGACCGGGCGTGGACGAAGGATAGCCAACAGCTTCGCAGATATACACCCCTGAATGTTCCAGTTGGATATTTGGTATTTCTAAGCGTCCATTGACATCTCGACTTCCAGGAGGCAGAGGCAGATTATTTCCTCGTAGCCAGCGCACTTTGGCTCGAAGAAGACCTTCGTCACGGCATTGGAATACGACCTCACGACCTAATTTATGAGATAACAATGTAATATCCGTAGAGACTCCTGCCTTTCGACGTTACGTGTTACTTGTCTTGTATTAATCGTAATGTTCCCATAAGAAGCTTATGTTATGAAGAATTTTTATTGTTTTTATTGTTTGGTGTGAGTAAAACGAAGAACATGTAATGATATGCGGTGTTGTTTGTGGAATTGTTCTTGGGAAACGCATTGTCAAAAATATATATTACGCTGTAAAGTAACTGTCTTTGTTCAGATATCCTCTTCGCATGCACGTTACTATGAAATACAAGTATCTGTTGTCAATTGTAAATTAAATAACACGAAACTCCTCGCAGACATAGACGATTCTGGTATTACAATTATGAATGAATAAAATGGTCCGCTTAGATGATCATTCACAATTTCAACGAGTCATTAATCACGCTCCATAAATAACAAAATTGCGTAGCATTACTTGCGATTGCTGTCCGTAAAAATCTTACCTTGCTTCGGCGGGTCTGGCCAAGGCAAGAAAAAGATAATCAAAAATTGTATTAATCTCTTATATAGTTAATTTGCTTAATTTATAATACGTACATTTCTACGTGTAATGCATAAAATACTGTGTAATAGGATTATTATTCTTTTGCTGCCACTAAACTTACTTTCTTTGATCAGTTGCTCGCTTGGATAAGTCTTCAAGTTGAGATGATGAGATTCTCCATCTAGAGGAAGCAAGTAGAAAATGATCATCATATCAAATAATACGTATTAAACTTAGAATTAATCACATACAGCAATTTTCTTCGTCGGATCTGTCCCTGCATTCTGGCACCCCATTGCAGAGAGAGGACTGAGGTACACAATCTTTGTCTCTGGTGCACGCGACGTAGCCGTGTGGACAACTGCCAGGCATTAGGGAAACGATGTGATCTAATAAAAAATTCGTGCAAGAATATTAATGTAAAATACCTTCTATAATATTCTGGAAATGTTAATAATTGGGAAGAATATAAAAAGGTGTTGATAACAGAGAGATGGTACAGCATAAGACTTTACTAGAATGAGAACGGTATGGTATGATCGTAAATTTAACTCAGAAGAGACTATTTGTTAATGCAATCGTATCCAGGATCATAGTTTAGATTCGTTGAATCTTGGATAGCGAAAATGATTTTCAAATTAATATTCAAAGCAAGCCTATACGATATTAAATCGCTTATTACTTTATGCTCGATGGGAAATATGTTGCTGAAGTTTTGAAGAAAAGTCTTCCGAAGGAACCGTTAATAGCAGAAAATATTGCTGGGCTCTGAAAGGAACTTGAGGACTTAGCCTCTTCAACTTTACATTTTATATCTTGGCACTCGAGATGTATAAACTTTAGCTCATCGGTAATTTTACGACTGTACTATATCGTTTCCACCTAGTTTGCTCACTCCACTCACGATCTGTAGACGTAGACGATCGATTCGTGGCTATTTTTGGCCAATAAGGAACATACAGGAGCCCTATTTTTAAGACTGTGTCGAAGGAATATGGTAAACCGCACTTGCATTGTTCCCATTCTGGTCTCCTTTTTAGCCAGAAACAGCATGAAAACCTTACCACAATTTTCGTCAGATCCATCAGCACAGTCTATGAAATTGTTGCACTGTTGGTCAGCTCTGATGCAATCTCCATTCGCACACTGGAACTGGTCCCTGCCACAGCCTGCAAACACGTCGATGTATTGTAACTGATAGAATGAACAGCTTCGTCTTGGAAAAACGATCGTGTGATCGTGAAAAAGTTTGAACGAGGCACAAAGGATCTATTACTCTTTAAGTAACGGTCTAAAGAATGAAAAAGAGCATGGACCACCAACAGTACCTAAAAATGCTAAGAACAGACATAAAATGATCGGTATATGTACACGTGTACTGGCACGCACAGAAAAATAGCGAGAGAAATTCACTTTTAACTCCTCCACACTGATCGCCTGTGAGTTTAACATTTTACTTATCGGGTCAAACATGAGGATAGATATTTTTGCAATTTACAGAGGAATGATAAAGTAGAAATGGAATGATATGCGAAATATCCCAATGGCAATTTTCCATTTCGATTTTCATCTCAATATCTCGATTTGAAGTTGGTAAATGGAAAAACAAATTAAATAATTAACTCGTGTTATCGTACGAGACCAGATTCAGAAGGTTAAGGTTCCACTGTACATTTTTCTGTGTATGCTCGTTAATAAATTACTACGAAACTAGAAACTGCTGCACTATTCTACAACACTCAGAACATAGTCTACGATCGATCACTTCAGGTAATATGTACCTTCTATCTCTAGCAAATCAAAAACTATGTCTCATGCTATAACAGGATCTACGCTAGGTTCGTACCAACAGGGATGTTCAACAGATTGTACCAGGCAACGGATGCACTAATAATTTACACAGGGATGCGTTGAACGTGTGACTGAGTTGAGTAGAATTCACTCAAGTCTCTACTCGAACAACCTACAAACTGCCTATTTGGCTGCTAACACAGACTGAAAGAAAATGCAGAGTCTAGAAAATCTGGGGCGTCCATGGTTCCAATGAAATCCTTATTAGAATCAACTAAAAATCATTTATGTTAAAGCAGAAAAAAGAGCCGAGGCTTGACAGTTACAAATTAAATTATTTCTGTCAGCAATGTAGGCGATACACAATTTCTGGATAAGCGATCGTATCTTTCCTTGGTCAAGGTTTCAAGGATCATCGTTATTTTTGTTTGCAATTGACCATTATTTTTGAGCATACAAAATGAATCCTTTGATCATAGATCGATCATAGCTTCGTTGTTTCATTTTCTTTAGAAGTGACTGATTAAATAAAAGTTGAAAAGTACGTGCTATTTGATCAAAGAAACTGACTGTAACACAATTGAATAGATAATGAAAAAATTGGAATGAAATGAATTTGAGGGGATTGGACGCCAGCAGATAATCAAGATCTGCCAGTGATCTAACCGAAGCAATACTGTTCGTCGGTAAAGTCGCGGCAATCGTAGAAATGGTCGCAGTGGTGAGTTTCAGGGATGCAAGTGCCATCAGCACAAACAAAATCATCCGGAGCACAACTCCTCGGAGTGCTCAGATTAGCTGGCGCCTGATAATCCGGATTGTAATCCTTGCTAGCCTGGTTCACGTGGGTTAGTCCCACCAGTGTGGTTCTACCTAGAAGTAACCGAAACTGAAACCACCTTGCACCTGGCTCTTCCTTTCTTTTAACTGTTTCTTAACCAATCGTCCATCTCTGTCTTGGAATTTTAATCCTGCAACTACTTACTATTGCGATTCCAGTCTTCTGCCTCTGAAGGAAGAGACAGTCATCGTCTGATCAACTATTTGCGATATTTTGTGTGTGATTTATAGGGCACCACAAACTGACAGTAGATCCTTTATGATTACACCAGTTAATACTACAGATAATGAAATTTAGTTTGCTATAATTTGGTTCAGCTGGGTGTTTGATTTGCTGTCAGTCTGCTGTACAATTTGGGTCACTTGCGACTGAATTAGTGCACGTACAAACTCGGTGCGGCACAATTGGTTGCCTCTAGCAGGCGGTGGACACGGTGTCACGGCCAAATACTGCGTGTGCACCTGGTGCGTTGCGTGATCTACTGGATCAAGTGTGCAGAACCGAATAGAGCTTATGTACAGACAGTGGAAACGGCCACGACACGGTCAGACATCAGAAATCCTCGACAGACTCAACCGGACCTTAAGAAACGTGTTTCTGATTGTAAGATGTAATTTGTTCTTGCAACAGAAGTTCTCCTTGAACAGATTAAAGTATTTAAGTTCCTCCAACCATTTTCCAGAAATACTACAGCACTCTTTTGCATATTTGAACTAATATTGCTGGCGCAATTTTGCAAATTAAGTTACCATTTACAAATTCCAAGCCATCCGATTATCTTTGAAACAAAGAATTATAGACCTACAAAAAAGAAGTTCACAATTTATATCTTCTATTCCATCAATTGATTAATATTAATCGTTAAATTATTACGTAAGACGCAAATGAACTTTGATCAGAGAAACGAATTAAAGTCTCAAATCTGTCAATATGTTTCTCAAGGAACGAGTCAGTTTCGAGGATGTTCAAACGGGTCAGTGTAGGTCTTAGCTGGTCCCTGCAGCCTTTTCCACCCACTTTGGGTCAGACTACGTCTCCCTATGCGACGTCTAGGACACGTTTCAGCCGGTGCACACGTGTTCCTGCCTAGTTCCTTCCCTTCAGCGTCCTAAGCTGTCTTACAGACATCTTGTGCACCTACCTTTATGACAGTTCGCCTCGTCGTCTTCGTGAGGGCAATCTGGGCGTCGATCGCAGACGGCGGATTGCGGAATACATGTTCCATCGCGACACGTGAACTCGTCAGCACGACATTCTGCTGGTGGTGTCACCACGTTGTCTGCAATTTGGAACATTTTTATCGTTATTACTTCTCGTGGATCGCTATGGATACTTATCTACGAGTCAGGAAGTTATGTTTATTTCATTTAGTTGGGATAGAAGCGTCGAGTATTCTGGAATCCTGCAGTCAAGGTCTCTTTGAGGTTTTCAGCACCGGGTTACTACGGATCAAGGATTCGTCAACTTCCAGACTGTACCGAGGCTTTATCAGCTTCAGCAAACATTAGTTTGGAGCTTGGATAAGGAGAAGGTTACGATCTCCATTTGAGTTTGACGATTAGCTGAAACTGATGTTCCAAGAGAAGCTAAATTCTTTGAACTATTTAGGACTGGATTAGCGTATAATAATATCTCTATAGAACTCGTTACTAGGAACCAGCTGTATTACAATTTCTGGAATTCTTTAAGGCTTCGTGGAGTTCGACAGAGTTCTCTCGCAAAGTCCTTAGGGTTCAGAGAGGGAGGCAGGATCTCCACGGTGCTTGGAACATGGGAAAAAGGCTTTGAAATGGTCTGAAATCCTTACTGCAGTCGCGCTCGTCGCTACCATCGTGGCAATCGATGTTGTTATCGCAGAAGAAGTTCTTGTTGATGCACACACCGTTGTCGCAGGGTCGCTCACCGTTGGGGCACTCTGAAAAGACAGGCGACAGTTAACGAGGGAAAGGGTAATTTTTCAAGAAATATTCAAAAGAAACTGTGAAAAAATATATGAGAAAAGAAAAGAAGTAGACAGTATGCTCGCTTCCCTAGAACCATAAAGACCCCCATAATGCCATATACATTATCCCAAGCAATTGGAAGAAAGAGAAACTCGACTGGACAGTTGGAACAGAATAAAAATGTACATAGACAGGTTCCGATCGATTCTCCACGGTCCAGTGGCAGAATTCCATGAGAAAGTATGGTCGAATAAGCGGCCCATGGTAATTAACCGATCGATAGACTGTCCTAGTCGAGATACCAACAAAGATAAAACCGTCAAACAAACAGCGTGCACACTGCCGGCTGTCATGCGACGTTTTAAGGAGCGCACATGTACACTGATCCCCATAGCGGAACTCTCTATGGTGTCGTGATCGCGTTGACCGTCCGCGTTTACAGATAGTAATTTGTAGAATCGATTGGAGTACCAATGGAACTTTACATTTGCTGTTTCTTCCTTTCTCTTTGCTCTTTTCTTAGGTCAGATCGGGTCTCGCATCCATTATGTGATATCACAGTTTGTTGAAGACTGAAGGAGAGAATTTAATTAATATGTTTGATTGGTAAACCCAAAAGAAAATTACTTTCACGTCAATCTACTTTTCTAGCGATTAATTAATTTCCAATTAATTCTTGTAGATTTATAATTACTGTCAGTTTTAGGATCGAGCAATTCCTGGAACGAACTATCCTCGTAAGATAATTTACGCATTCAGAAATTGAAATTCTCCAGAGTGAAACCGGAAGATGTCTTCCTGCTCTCAGCAGTTTTCACGTCACTTTTCCAAATTTCGGATACTTACTGTATCAAAACCGATAATGAAATTCTCATAATCTCTTCAAAATCTTCTCAACACGGAATACTCGATTCACAGTAAATTTTTCCTTTATTCACGCAGCTATAGAATTGATAATACTGTCAAAATTTAATGGATCTGATCTATTAAAGTGAAACTCTGGAGAAAGAATATTTGGTGCGCGGCAATCTAATAATTTCATAGAAATCAAGTTCGCTGATTCAAAGTCGAACGACGTATCTTAGTGATTTCAACGGATGAGGATATCAGTAGTTTGTTACTCTTATCGATGCTGTCAATTTCGCGATTAATCATGCCAGAATCGATTCTGGTAACTGGTAAACGGGACCAAAGACTAGTTTCCATTGTTACTCCGTGGGATGTGCGTGTATTGGAAGAGTGGTAAGTAGGAAAATTCTACTATGCAGCACGATAACTCCGTGAACTACGTTCTCCCTAGGGAGCCAGAGTGTGTAACGTACTTTCCAAAAGCTACAGGAACGTTTAAACGTTATCAAACAGAAAGATCTAGGCAAAAGGCGATGCCTCATAAATCTAAGGCTATGGTGTACCATATAGTAAGTAAGAGACAGAGACAGAGAGAGAAAGAGAGAGAGAGAGAGAGAGAGAGAGAGATACAGAGAAATAGATAGAAAGGGGCACATACACTGGGATCGATCAAAAGTTTCCTTCTAACTCATTCTACGTTGCCAAGGAACTGAAAATTATAGAGACTTAATCGTAGAAAATTATTAAATTGTAGAAAATTCCGCTGAAACGAAGAATATTTCGCTATTAAACTTTTCCTCGACACCAGTGTGTACAGAAATATGAAAGTCTCATCCGGTTTGGCGACTTGTCGAATCCTAGGATCCTGTGTACGTGCGCTGTGCAAGACTCTTATAATCTAATATAGATCAGAATGGAAGAAAGATATATATATAGATAAATGTGAATATAAATATATATATATATGTATATGTATATACAATCAGAGAGTGGAAGAGGTATGTACATATCAAGGTCAGGCAACCTGTGCTGAAAGAGAAGACCAAAAAATAAAACAACCAGTGTGTGAAAAAGAAAAAGAGAGAGAGAGAGAGAGAGAGTGGCAAGAATGGAAAGAAAGTGAGAGACAGAGAGAAAATTCGAGCAACAGGATAGAGAATTGTTTGCATAAGAGCGTCCAATTGCATTTCCATAGTATCAATTAGAATAGGTCGGTGTATTAGAACGAGATTTAAGGGGGGTGGGGGTGGGGGTGGGTGTAGAGCTGAAACATACAAAGATACCGTAATTGTTAATTACACGAGACTACAGAAGGGCACGTGCTCATACAGTGAGAGAGAGCTAAATTACATGAAATGAAATTTTTCATATTATTCTCACATAGATACATTCAAAAGTTCTAATGAATATTATAAGGGAAAAAGATGGAATAATAACTGTTTCACTTTTAACAGGAGAACCAACGATTTCTGCTTAAAAAAATATCATTCTGACGTTAAAGATTGGAATGGCTTCCTGTGGGATCCATTTAAGGGCCTTTTTCATATAGAATGTGAAATAATATGCAGGGTGAGTTAACGGGGCGATTGTTCATGGAAAAACGAGTCAAAAATGTACGATGCATTTTTTTCGCCCGAGTTTCTGTTTTCAAGAAAAACGACTTGAAAGTCGGTCGCGAGTACGTGTTTTTAGCGTAGCTGACTCCAGTGGTTCTTAACCTGGATACATTTCAATATACCGGAGATAATTTACCACACAGTCTTCTACCGTTACAATCTACTCATTTGATTCTGCAATAATACGTACTTACGATTTTTTATTCGAAACTAATCACTCTTTTTACGTATCCTCAATCAAGCGTATGAATATTATTTAATGAAACAGATACATCTCAAGATTTGGTTGCCAACGGGAAGAATTAATTGCGAAAGGACTAGAAAGTTTAATTACGTTACATCAGCAAAGATCGTATTATGAAAAAAACGGAAAGAGAACCACTGGAGTACCGTAGAGCGCAACGCCTTTCAAGTTCAATTTCCCTCAAAACGAAGTTTCTTACGAGGAACCTCCACTGCATCTTTTCTTCTCATTTTTACCCAAAGAATCGCCCTACATGAAAACCAAAACTCACCACTGCTAACAACCTACATAACCTAACTTTTTATCACAAAACTCAATCGTAAGTCTCTTAGATCCGTCGTTAATTGTTATTTATCTTTGAGTGTGAAAAGCTTCCAGCATTGATATATCTCTATTCAGAGGGCAATTCGTAGATTCCATAGCCCCAATGGACAGTCTCATCCTCGATGACGAGGCCCCCTGGTCGCGGCGTCGCGATTCAAGCTGAGGCGGCAGTCAACGTCCGACTCGAAACACGGTCGATAGGAACGCGGAAACGAGATTAACGGTTCTGCACGGCCAGACAAGAGCGAGCTGGCATTAGTTACAGCTTCTTAATTGCCGCCTTGAAGACCGACGCGCGACCAGGCAAAAGGTGGAGGGCTCTCCCCGCGATTCCCCGTACGCATCGATTTCTATTCGATGGCTTCTTCTCGTTTTTCACGCTCCGTCTTGTTTCCTCGAGCATCCATCAGATAAACCGGCACTCTCACTTCGATTTATTTCCTTGGAATCGTTCCTTGATCTCTTTCTACTTCGTTTATCTATAATTCTCTTCGGATAGTCTCGAGGAAGACACAAGGGAGTTTGTTACAATTCGAGCTTCTTAGGTGTAAGCTGTGTTCTGAAGGAATTGCGTGTATCGTTCGACTTTTGAGAAAATTATAATAATTTTAATTTTAATTTTAGTTTTCACTCTGCGTGTCATTTGATTCCTAAAGTTGAAATACGTAGTTTGTGATATAAGTAAACTGCGAATTTTCACGTTATTTTCATATTTCTAAGAAGGTAGTTAAAAAAGTAGAACCTTGATAGAAAATTGCTTTGACTATTAAGCATTATGGAAAGCACTATGCTATTTTAAATATTTTTTCATAACATTATGTGTACTTCGTTAAATCTTGAACTTTGCTTATAAGACAGCACAGCTTAACCCAAAAATTTCAAATTGCGACATCAATTAAAATAAACTTTAAGCTGGTAAAAGTCCAAAATTTTTTACAGGGAATTGTCCTGCGTACGTGGATATCGAGGTGGGAGACCTCTGCAAATTTGACAGTGTGCAGGACGGGGTATAGCTGAAAACGAAGAAACGATGAGCGTTAGAGAAACGTGTTAAAGAAAAGCTTCCATTTTTTCCTCAGCAATAATTCTTCATGCGAGGCGTCCCGGGAAAATGTCGAGATCCAACCGCGGAATAATTTATCAAGATGCGATTTCGTAGATTTAGCTCCGAAAGGCGGGGAGATTGAAAAGACAAAGAAAGAGACGAGAGAATGAAAATAGAGAAACCGGGTCCAGAGGTCGGTTGATTTGCATTACAGGCTGGACACCGCGATCGATGGGCTCTGACGTGATTGTTTAATTGCAGCTCTCTGCGCAGAGGAATCCTGCCACACGCTGTTTTTTCTGAATTAAAACTCGTTCTCGTTTTTCTGATACCATCGCGCGACGGTGCTTCATTGCCTAAATATAAATTGGCAAAAAACGAGGGAGCGCGGTTGCAAAAAAAAAAGGAGGGGGTGTTTCTCTGCACAAACTATGCTTCTCGCATTATGAAAAATAGGGCGCAGGTGGGTCATGCCAGTGGTTCTCAACATCCAAACAAATAAACTAGACTAAGAAAAATCCCTCTGTGTTCATCATTTAACTCTAAGCAATGAAGACAAAGAATCTTCTTCTCGTTTCGTCTTTATTGTCCAAAACGTAGAAGAACGAATCGATTGATGGATTAATCGAAGTTCTGTTCTTAGTTAAGTTTCTATTTTTATCGTTAAAATGAGAACTATTGGCAGATGAATTTATTCAGGGGATTCCCATAAGTTCTCCCGTATCGACCGTCGATCACGAGATCGATTCTCCATCGATACTGCAGCCTGCAGTGCAAATCGGCCTTGATCGACAGGCAAACAGACAGAGAGAGAAAGAGAGAGAGAGAAAAATAAATAAAGAAAAATGACGACCGTACGGCAGTTGATTTCGTCTGAGCCGTCCTTACAATGCTGTCGACCATCGCAACGTCTCTTACTGTCCAGGCACAATCCGTCGTTGCATCGAAACATTCCAACCGGACATTCGCTTACTATAACGATGCCCAAAAAAACGGTCAGGTGATCTTCCATTAGAGCGTCTCGTGCAATGGCGCGCAATTCATAAGAGAAAAATGACCTTACCGACGGAGTTCATATACCCTCTTTTAATTACCATCTATTGGTAACTATTACCTCTTTCTCTTTTTAGCAAACCACATTTAATTAAAACTTAATTATAAGCAACAAGAGTAATGTTTTGTGGTATTACGTGTAAACATTTTTGAAAGAGGTATAGGACTCCGTCACCACCTATCTCTTCGACGTCCTTTGCGTACACGTTGGTCCGTTGGTTCAGGAATGGAAAAAGTACTCACGTATATCTCCAATAAAATCCCGAGGAGTATACTCGGTTCTCTAACCCTTTCGTTGTACAGAAATACATACAGTACATATAGTTGCATAATTATTACATGTTAATTTTAGATATTTCGAACCTGATTATAGTGTATAGAAGAAAGATAGAGATCTTAAATTCCATTTTCGAACCCTGACCCAATTTTATGACACATACAAGTAGTTTCAAAGACGCTACCTTAGATAAGATAAAGAATTTTAAGTCCAAGATCAATCAAGAAACGTTTCAGAGGTTATGACCCCACATATTCTATAATATGTCAGACGATTGTAAAGAATCGAGTTTCAAGCATGAAATGATATGAATCGAGATTTGATAAACAACGAATGGGTTACAAATTGACCAGCACACGTTTCAGGCAATAAAAACTGGCTCCAATGAGCCAATGAAGTGTCATACATGCTTGGAGATCGTATACCCATTCTCATGCAGAAACATGCATTTAAATGTCCGATTTAAGACTCACAGTCTACGTAATAATTGACCAAAACTTTTACATGCATCCGTGTCGCTGAAAGTACAGCGTAAGGCTGACTTTGATAATGCCAATATATCTTTTGCATCGAGGGAATGCGACGTTAGTTAAAGAACGACCAAAAGATGTTGCCTCCTTTAAAGACGACGAATCAGAGAATAGAGGAAGATTAATGCAGGATAAATGGTTTCAGTTACAAATGCCATGAAATGTGCCATTGAGGTTAGTAAATTTATGTTGTGTTGAACATGGCCCCCGAAAGGTAATTTTCTATTGGACAATCACGCAAAGGAAGAAGACCAGGTGGCCAGGACATTTTTCGTCATGTATTGGTAGCAATGATCCATAGTTACCGCATCCAATCTCGTCAGATCCGTCAGCACAGTGGGTTACATTGTCGCACCTCTCGATTTCAGCTATGCATTCACCACTGGCACATTTCCACTCGGCAGGTGTGCAGACCCCTTGACACAAGTAACAGCTCAACAACAAGCTCTAAAGAAGCTTCAACAATGGGATGGTTGGGGAATTGCAGCGCCATTGACATAATCACTAGGGTGATCACTTCTAGTGACCACTCATAATGGCTCAGTCATGACCAGCTAAGGCGGGCAAAAAGGATCTTGACCAAGGTAAGGGTCACTCGAAATCTTGTACTTCTCATAAAAGAATCAAGGAATAACAAGTGATTCTTGAATTATTTATTACTCTGACGTGACTAACTGTGCACGTATATAGGAAATTCAAAGATGCACAAATATCAGAGTACAATTTCCATAAAATAAGCAGGTTAACTATCAACCACGAAATCATCAGTTTACTTAAATTGAGAAAATAATTTCTACCGATATAGAATCTGTCTTTCTTCAAATTTAAGATCGAGCTGGTTATCAAAGGTACTCTATTCGATGAGAAAGATTATCGGGAGACATTGAAAATGCAAAGACCATTCGAATGACCTAACTGGGTGCAGAGGAAGCTTACCACAGTCATGCTCGTCACTACCATCGAGGCAGTCGAAGATATTGTCGCATTTGCGTCGAAGCAGAATGCATTGTCCGTCTTTGCAACGCATTTCCTTGCTCGGATCGCATTCCCTCGGGCGCTCAGTTGTCTCGCCTGGCCATACATGGCCTGAACGTACATACACAAACAAGCACATTGCCAGCTACTCGAACACAAGCCTTCTGCTATGTACAAACGTAAAAAAGTATCTCCATGTCGAGGAAAACGATGCTAGAGCGGTCAAGATCACTTCTCACCAAAGCTTTGTACACATTAGCTTAATCTGGATAGAGTTGGGAACAATTGTCCCGTATAATAAAGGGGATCAAATGGAACTTATATTTATTTTTATATTTATATTTGTCAGAGGATAAGAAATTATAATCTTCCAGTTTTTCCTAGCCAAATTTTGCCAAAGTATTCTATGTATGTATATGGACAAGTAACTTTGAAGATTTATTCAGAAGTTATTGAAAAGATAAAACAAATGGCAATAGTAGTGAGCCAAAAATAGGTTCACAGTCAATGTAATTTGAGACTTTTATCGTTGCTGTTGATAAAAAGACCTATGGCGATTCAAAATTAAGTGTGTTAATCTTTCTTCTTAAGGAAAGTATATTTTTGTTAGAACTTGTTAACAAAGCTTCAAACGACTTATATTTACACGAAATTCTCCCCTTTCCATATAAAAATCCTATATAGGTTTTTCTCCAATTTATATTCGTACAACGACCAGACAAAGTTCGTCGAGAGAAATTGGAATATTCAATATAATTTTACGTTCTTGTAAGTCGCGATAGCTAATTATTTTTAATTATTTTTTACAGTTCCAGTCTCTTGCTATACGGGATACTGATCTTTGAGACAAGATACGGTTGAAGAGCTAGAGAGAAATAAACCTGGAAATAAAGGCGGCTTCTTAGCCAGTTTCACTCTTGCTTATATCAAGCTAATGAATTAATTAGCGGTGAGACCACGGCTGACCAGCATCGTCATCCTCGTTGTCAAGTGCTAAGCAAACGAGAAATACGCGTCTACCCAGCCAGATTTTTATCTACATTAAGAGGAAGGCCCCCACAGTGTATTCGTAAACACGTTTCTTTGAGGTGTAGTCAGACAGAGGATGGAGGAAGAGGAGTCGAATATAATCGAATGCAGATGGTATTCAAGCGAAAATGTATCGTAACTTTCACTGTTGCGCCTGGTTGGAAGGAACGATCCGCAGATTACTATAATTTTTGTTGAAATTCTCAGGCATAGAATATTTATCCTACAATTTCGGACAATCTTCGTTTTACAGATTAAAAGATCAACGGAAATTAGGTGTTTTGCAAATGGGATATTGGAAAGAGATTTTACATTTCGTATTCTAAAGTTTCTATAGTATACACGCATATATATTCCTGCGTGTTTGCGCTACAATAAAGAAATTACGAAGCCTGGAACTTCTTTTAACAGTTTCTCAAACTTCTTCAAACCGTGTCAAACTTTATCAAACTTATACGGATTCAAACGGATGCTCAAATTTCTCAAAATTTATCCAAGCGAAGCGGAATGTTCCTCCCAACAACGACAAAAACTTAAATTGTCCAAATGTCGTTGCTCAAAATTCCCAAGTCAATGTTGCAAACGCGTTCAATCTCTATACTTCATTCTGTCGATATCTTTTAGGTATCTTTTCTTGCATATTTCCGATGATGTAACAAGATTAATTCACGTTCGTTTATCGCGCTATTGAGCAAGGAATTTCGTGCAAAGAGAATGAAAAAAAAGATGAAGAGGGTGAAAACAGCGTACTGATAGGTGGAGTGGCGTGTGTAATGGTTTCGTTAGCGCAATCTTCGTCGCTCTGATCCGGACAATCCGGGCGGCCGTCGCACCTGTAGACACCCTCGATGCACTTGTTCCCGGTGACGCATTTGAACTGGGTGGGTGTGCATTCCCGTTCTGTTTGTGTGGTCGTTTGTGTCGCAGCAGGAATACACGGGAGCAGAGAACACACATTTATATATACAGATACGTTGACAATGCTGCTGAACAGGGGATGGTTTTTTGTTCAGGGGGACTCGATCGTCCGTCCATTGAAGAAGAATATTTTTGCCTTTAACACTGGATCTCGTCTGTTCCATCTTTGGAAAATGATCGAGATTGGAATTTTCTAAAAACCACAGTTTCATGAAAGTTAAGAAATCATTATATATTAGGATGTTGATTTATATTTCTTCTTCGACGTCTACGTTATTCGGTCGATAACTCAAAATACTTGAAATTTAAATGTTTCAAAAATTATAATTTGATTATAAAAATAGATTTCCGCTTAGAAAGTTATACAGGTTTCTTTATAGTTTATTATATTGGGCTGTTATTTTATACCTCTTCTTCAATGTCTAGTTGCCTTGTCCCCCTGATAGAGGATAAACGTTGCGCGTTGAAGAGGGGAGATCACCTGTAGGGTTTCGATTCTGTTATGACATCACGAAAAGCTCGAAGCTCGTCCACGAACAACGAAAGCGTTCGACGAACAACGATACAAAAGCTATTGCTTTGAACAATACGGGAGAGGGACGATCGACCCTCTAGCGTTTCAAATTGGATTAAGGAAATTCCTCTAAACTTTCTGGGGACTCGGGACGCGTGAATCTATGTACAATTAATGGTCTAGAGAGGTGAGGGTTAAAACTTTGAAACTACCAATGTACAAATGTAGGCACGGCGGGTAACAAAAGCTTTGACGTTTTTCCTTTCACATTCTTTTCCTTTCTTAACAATTTCGGTTGACCAGCAACTGATTTTTCATCCGAAGATAGCCACATTAAAGTACTGAATTCTATTTACTATATTGCTATACTCTCATTGTTTTATTCACTATGCTGCATTCATTTTTATTTCAGTCATTTCAAGCCACAGTACCAATAGACTCACTTCGATAATGGCAATATAATAAACGAAATTTTCACAATAAAATAATAAGTTAAACGTGCGCGTGTTAGAAATAATTGGAATTGAAATTGCTCAGTTTATGTCAATAATATTGCAAAAATATTCTTTGCTACCAAACTCTTTCAAGTAATACGAATCAAAGGAACATCAAAGCTTCCTCCACCCAGCACATGACACGCTTCGTAAGTATCGTCAAGGATTGAGATTACTTTGCAAGCAGAAGCGGAGACCACCAACACCAGAAACTCCACGTCCACTTTCTCCGGCTCAAACAATTAACTAAATATCTATTTCTTTCTGAAAACAGTAATTTATAAAAAGAAAAGAAAAAGGAAACAAAGGAAGAAATGGCACTTCTATGGAGTCTCCAATATTGAATGTTCCCAGATGATAGGTAAGTGTTTATATACCGCAGTGAAGCTCGTCTTCTGCCCGGGGGCAGTTGTCGAATCCATCGCAAACAGCGCTCTTCGATATGCAAGAGCCGTCGTTGCAGGTGAAGTCCATAGAAGGGCACGGGGCCAAATCTACAGGGCGCCACCGGCAAAAACAGACAGCCTGGTTTCGTCAAACCCGTCGCCTCGAGCTCCCTCCTCAGGATTATTGCTCCTCAAAGTCGTGGAAAAGCTCGAGTCGAGGTGGCCATGTTACATTGGTTATATATTAAATATAAATATATGTACAAGCTATGAGATCCACGTGGACAACACACGTGTGGAGACATTTAAAGCGGGATCAACTGGGCTTGATACACTGAAAGCATCTGTTATGGTGAATGGTATTTATATATGGGCAGCTGTCAGCCTGCGATATTGCCTCGTGGCTGCCAAGTTAATCCTGCATTGCCATTGTTTCGTCTGATTTTTGAATAACAATTGATATAATACCTTTGTACAGGTTTTGTGACTTTTCTGTTTTCAAAGGAATATCAGTCTTCCATATTTGGAACTTTCTATCTGGCACGTTGTTGCATCGAGGTTCCTCAACGTTAGAAACATGTTACCGTTTGTAATAAAAAGTGAACAATTCTTTGCAATCCGATTCTGCAAAAATGTATAAAATTCCACCGCTATGAATCAGTAAAATTTCTATGAAAAATTATCTCGACTAAAATCTGCTAGTCCTAGAGTTAAATCCTGCTGCAATCTAAATTTTTTCATAGACATCTTTTTTCATAATTCTCCGGCCAAGAAAAAGTTATTCCATCAGTTCATCATAGCGCAGCAGGATGAACAATACAGCCACAGTACATGATGTTTATTGGCACAGTATCTGCAGCCTGACAGAGCACACGACTCCTCGACCGCGGGGTATCTTTTTACAGAGGATTCCTTCGAAGCTGGCTAACACTTAAAGCAATCTGAACGAAGCCTCTCGAAGGCGATTAGGATATATTCCATGGGTTCTATGTACAGTGTATGCGTCTGGACGTGTAATTTGTCTCTCGTGTCTGCGTAACATTAACTGAGAACATCGACGACCAATAGAAGAATCGGGAACAACGTTGTTTGGACTCCAAACAGATTAAACACTTTGGTTTACTCGTTGAACCTCAGAGCAAATAAACTGACTGCGAATTGCAGTGTGCAGTCCGCAAGACCGATGAAAGATGTTTGTTATATCCAGAGATGTAAGCTGTCTCGACTTCCTTTGCATTCACCGTTTGCTTTATCCCTATCTTATTGACCTTATTTGTACAGCTGTGGCCTACTCAGAGACCTACTTTTTCAAATAACCATAATACGGTGGTAATTCGTTTAGATTCCATGAAGTTATGGGGCGCTAGCTGTGATTCTTACGAAACAATCCCTTCTTTATTAATAAGGAAGCAGTGGCCTTTACTACAGCAACAAAAGTCTATCAGTAAGAAAAGTTTCAACTAAATTTATGTCTTACGAGTATCGAATTTAAGAGAATCACTGGGGTTTGAGCGAGATATGTAACTACCACTTTGTGGCCTACCTTAAGATCTATCTTTTCAGGTAATCGAGAATGCAAAGGAAGAGTCACGGTGACTTAGCCTGTGCAAGGAACAGAATTCCTCAGAGGACATTCAATACAAAGGCCTTTGTACAGCAGGGATGGACGCCACAAATTAAGTTCCAACACGAACATACAAATATCTTCTTCGTCAGAATTTCTGGGCCAGATTTCCAAGCCACCACTTTGTACAGCGATAGATCCCACCAATTCAGAGCCCCACTTTTCAGACCTTCGTTGCTGGCAAGGTTTCACTGAAGAACATTCGAAGATGCCAAGAAGTGAAAGAACAGAACGGAAGAAGGATAGATGGACTGGTTTCTACCTTCCATCCCACAGTCAGCTTCGTCTAATCCATCCTCACAATCCTTTACGCTATTGCAGACGAAGATATTGTCGATGCAGGTCCCGTCGCAGGCAAATTTCCACATAGGACATGCGGAATTTTCTTCGGTCTCGTGCACTCCATTCTCATAATCTCCATTGGTATTGCCGTTACAGTCAAACTCGTCGCCATAATCTGGACAGTCTGAGTATCCATCACACCATTTGTCTGCCGCGATACACGTGCCATCGCTGCAAACGAACTGATCCGGATCGCAGTTCGCGGTCGTGCTAGTCTCTTTGGAGATGAAGTCGGAATTCGTAGTGCTCTGTCTTTCCGTGGTATCCTCTTCGCAATCGTCCTCCACGTCCTGGTCAGCTCTGAGCTTTTTGCCCGTCTTTTCATCCTTCTTGCACTTTTTCCTAGCCGAGGAAGAGGAGCTCTTAGTGGCTGGCAAACTCGTAGAAACCGTAACGTCGTCTATTCTGGAGTATGTTTTACTGTGTTGATCTTGCCCTTCCTCTTGGTCAACGATTTCCTTCGACTCCTTGCTGATGTTGTTCCTGCTCAGTTCTGTCACGGTCTCAACCAACGTCAGTGATTCTGTGGCGTCCGAATATTTAGAATCAATTGGTTTTATAGTTAAACTATGGTTGAACACCTCTGAGAATTCCGAGAAGTCCTGAAAAGAATCCGAAGAATTACTGTCATCTTCAGGCTTGGAAAGTGTGGTATCCTCGATTAGTCCGGAATCGATCTTATTCTCGCTTGTCAGAGACTTCTCGATACCTGCTTGTCGCAACTTCTCCTCCAACTCGTACACTCTCTGTCTATAGAAATCCACACACTTCGAGGTACAATTGTATATCTTCGCTTCCAAGGTTTGGTCGATAGAATTGGGAAGAATTTTATCAGCTAACCTGTCCTTACTAAGTAGATCTATCAGGATCTTGGAATTGTTCAAATTAGATTCGAATAACAGTGTCTCCACGTTTGCGGATACATTATAACTGTAATCCTCGTCTGCAATCGTAGAGGCTGTCGACGATACCGACGATGATCCCTTCTCTTCCAAGTTCCCGTCATAATACGTCGTCTCTTCGCTATCTTTTCTGCTATCTGATGTCTCCGTAGAATCCTGATTAGATCCGTCGGCAATTAAAATTTCTTCCGAACTTAGGACAGTCGATGTCCTGTACTTTTCCGTAATCCAGGAAGAATTTTCTGAATCCGGCACTGTGGTCTCTTCCACGAATGTCGTCTTCGGGCTCCAATCCAGCTTTTCCTCCAACGAATATTTAGTCCCAGATATATCGGAAGTATTTCTTTCCCCCGAGTCCAATCTCATCGCGTCTTCTTCCCCGGTGAAGTTCAACTTCTTGTCTAAATCTTCTTCAGAGTACCAATTCCAATTTGTAGTTTCTGAAAAGTCAGTGGAGTTGATCTGTTCTGTACTCGTCGACGTGGTTGCCACGGCTTCTTCCAGACTCCCATCTTCGGAAATAAATAATTTTTCACTCGATTCTGTAAGAATAAGAGATTCGTCCTTCACCGAAACAAACACACTATCCGTTGTCCCGTTCACCTCGCCTTCCAACGTTACTTCATCTTCTTCCTTCGTCGAAAGATTAATCTCCGGCCCAATCGAAAAATCTTCCAATTCTGATACCGTAGTTTCCTCCACGTTTTTCAAAGTACTTTCTTCTTCCATCTCTTCTCGAATCTTATTAGAAAGTATTTCATTTTTTATTGAACTTGGATCATCGGTGACGGTCGAGCTAACAGTCTCCGGTGTTGTCGAGTCTGTTGGGTATTTGGTGCCAGCAAATACGGACATGTGTCTGAATCTACCCTTCTGCCCTTTCTTCCTACCCTTCCTAGACTTCTTCTTCTTCGCACGCACCTTTCCATCGTTGACCACAGTCGTGGAATTTGTGGAATCCGTCAGAACTGACACTTCGCTAGACGTTGCGTTCTCAACACCAGACTTTCGGTGGTTCTTCTTCCTGTTCTTTTTCGGCTTCTTCGCCTCATTATCAGTAGGATATCTCTCGTAGTACAAGGAACGTATCATCATTTTGGCAGACCTCGAGCTGTTCCTATCGGGCGTGTCAATTATTTTGAAACCTATTCGTGGCAAGGGATTCAAGTTCCTCGACTTGGACCTCCAAATGTTCCCTGGATTCGTTTTTTTCTTGACTATTTTCATCGAGCACGGATCGCTTATCTCGATGGCTATTCTTGGTAAGGAATTCGAATGCCTTGGCACGGACCTCCAAATATTCTGTGGACTCGAATTTTTATCAGCTAGTTCATTCGAGGATGGATCGATGGTAGAGTCGTTCTTCGGGTGTTTCTTTGGATTTGTCAAAGTCTGCTGCTTCAGGTCACCAACGTGATTCCAGTTCAGCATTCTCACTGTTTCCAGATACTTGCGGAACGTATGCTCATCGTTGTATAAATTCCTCCACTTGGCCTTTTCTGTGACGACGATCATAGTGACGGAACATGAAGGATTTGCCTTTCCGGAGAAAGAGGCGAACGAGAGAGGAGAATCGAGGCGGAGAAAATCCTAAGCTTCCACCTCGATCGAGACATCAACGAGAGAAAGAGGAAGAAGAAAAAGACTGGACCAATACAGCGGGCTAAATAGTTCACTTTGCTCGTTAAGGAGCAAACGATTGACTCGTGAATTTTTCTCGAAAATCGCCCTCGAGGTGAGACGAAAGAAAAATATTTCGTCAACGACCAGAGCGTAACAGATGTGGATAACAGATGTCATAAATTTCACAGGGTCGTTTCACAGAAATAGTCGAATTGCATGGACGATTAATAAAACCGCGATGAGGATTAAACAGAGGGGATACCACGAAATTAGGATGGTGTGGTTTCAATTTTAAATATCTCTAGCTATGCCAGAGCAACAGGTGTCTGTATTATTCAGAAAGTCCATTTTCACGTTTCAAAGCCGACTTGGGGACTCTATTCCACGCGTGTCTCCCTCAAGGAACAGCTGTACGATTAAATTTATGTATTACAAAAAATTAAGTCCGCTCGAAGTAGCACGATACTACTTGGCCATGTAAAAGTGAGGATTACTACTGAAGAGATAGGGACTTTCTCATCTTTCTCTTTTTATTTTTAATTTTTTTTTCTTTGGTGTTTTTAAAAAAATCTGAGACAAGCATCTACGAGATATTCCTAATTCGCCAATTGTACGTCTACCCTCTGCAATTTCTAATAATTGAGATACACAGAGATTAGATTAACACTAGAACTAGCACACCAGTCAAATTGACCGGTTTTACAATTTTATTTTAAAATTCCTAATTCATGTTATTAGTCTTAAAAGAATAATATAACGAATTTTATTTTGTATTTTATGTATTCAAACTGAAAATAATTTTGTATCAAGGCTACTTATATCAATAGCAATCAAAATGACTGATGCTTGTCAAAGTGTAAAAGAGTCCCAATCTCTCGTTTAGGTATCACGGTCCCAGATGGATTAATAATACCAAAAATGCACTACATAACATGGAATTGCTTCTGTAAGGAAGTAATACATCAATAAATATACAAATATTCCATTATTACTTATTTTTTAAAGACCCTGTCATTTTGACTGGTTTCGGTAGAAATAGCTGCATGTTAACTATCGGTAGTTCTAGTGTTAAGGAAAAGAAATATGGTAGAAGCGATCTTAGCCGAAACATTGTGGTCCTGTAGAACAATTAGAGTCAGCGTTAGGAACACGTTGTTTTCATTGGATCGATCAGTCTCTTCTTCCTCTTCTCTCTCAAGTTTCAGCCTCGTCGAACCGATAAAGCCACTAAACCTGATCCTCATAACGCGTTAAATGCTCTTTTGCACAGATCTCTGCTGAAATTACGTAACTGATCCACTGAAACTGTACGATCCGATCGAATGGTTGTTCCAATATCGTTAAAAACAATTGCTCATCATTCTACAGAAATTCAATCAACGATCATCAGTGATCGATAACGAAACATCAAGGTCTAATTGCAGCTCGAGATCCCAGATGTTGAATAGGACAAAGAGCTACCAGGAGACAGACACGACGCTTAAAAATCCAGAGCGAAGTATATCGTTGTATATATGTGTGCGTGTGTGCGCGCGTTCGTCTGTGTATATGTGAGCGTGTATGTGTGTGTGTGTGTGTGTGTGTAGACACGAGTGTAGGGACACGAGTAGGTAGTGTGAATGGCATAATTACCGCAGTCCCTTTCGTCAGAGCCATCAGAGCACTCCTCCACCCCGTTGCACTGCAACTCGTAACCGATGCACCGTCCGTCCGTGCAGCGAAACTGGGCCTCTCCGCAACCTGCTCCACACACCACACTCATGCACATTTAACCCTTTAACCACGCGCAACTGGTCAATAATATCGGGAATGAACGGTGGAGAAGAATTTAGAGAAGAAGAGACTTCTCATAGTCCTTTCTTTACATTCTGATCCTTTGACGTACTTTTGCTCTCGACGGTTCTTTGATGTTGAAGATAGAGAGGTATTGGTGTACAGGTGAATCATGATGGAGGGATCGTTTGACATTTCGCGTCTAGGAGACGTAAAAACTGGCAAATCTACGCGTTGACGTCGATCGGAATAATTATTTTTCGAAAGATTCGTTAGCAGACTCTTTTGACCCACTTCTGCTCTTGATCGTACCTTGGCGTTCAAGATGGTGAGCAACAATGTTCGGTGAAATATAACAGAGGGGTGATTACGGTAGTCCGAGTCTATTAAAGATGGGACACTGAGAGAATTAGGGGTTGATTGTTGGTTGGAATAACCGCTCTTGGCAGTGCAGTTGTGCATGAATTCTACAAGGGACGACAGACGCTTTGATAGACTCTTCCGGACTTCACTCTTTCCTTCATGTTCAAGCTCACGACAATATCTTGTGAGTGAAGGAATGAATCGTTAGATCTAGTGCTGTGGGTACATTAAGAGGTGAGAAAATAAGAAATTTAATAATCAAATATGGTTCTCGAATATTGTCCACGTCTCACCTGTGTCTAACTCCACGAAGGAACGAAGGACTTAACTTTAATTAATAATTCTTCTTCATAATAAAAATCTACTTAACACGAAGAAACGAGTGATCAGACATTGCAGTCCGAATTCCATTTCTCCTGAAGCATAACTCTGTGAGTAAGGATGTCTATTCCCACGGTGATTTGGAGGGAGAAATATTCGAGTGAATGGCGCAGTTAAAGGGTTAAAAGCGCAGCCAAGCAGGCTTCTCATCAGCCCCTGCTTCACAAATAAAACACGCGGCTTCGGCTTACGATTCAAGCGTCCCCTTTGATGTGTTCCCTTTCCATCCAGTGAAATCAGCCGTGTGCCGTCGATACCGAGCCCTCAATGAAACCGCCACAGAGCGTGGAGAGCATTTTAGATCCTCTTGCCGTGATTACCAAGCGGCGGATGATCAATGACTTCGTGATTCATGATCGACGAGACTCGAAGTTTTACGAGATTTCGAATCACTTCGAATTTCAAGGAGTTGATGATTTTCGGTATGAAACATGTTCTACATTTGGACTCGTTCTTTCAATGCTTCCTACTGATTCTGCAGGACAATTTTTGTTATAGAGAAATTAATATACGGCGTTTTATCAATTCTTCGGAAGAGGTTTATCAAATTTCGATGATCAGCAGATTATTAAATTGCGAAGTGATTCGAGCTCGTGACAAATAAGGGGAGAGATGAGATTGATCGAGGATGATTTTCGAGCGTGAAAATCTGTCCATGCGTGCCATGGTGGAAAATTGCAAACTTGGGAATAGGAAAGAAGCCACTTCCGGTGTGAGGTTGACCAGCAGGGAAAAATCGAACATCGTCCAAAAAAGGAATAGATATACTCCACCGAGATGATTCGTGTCTTGGATCCAATTTTTCAGCGCTAAATAGTATCTTCCAGCTAACTTAAAAAGATCATATTGCCCTAGTCAATTTTTGAGTGAAAGAACAAACGAATCCGTGGAAGACTGATGATTCTTGGGTGACCTTGAAGGTGAAACCCATTTAAGTAAGGCTCATTTTATCGTGGAGGATTCTAACAAAATACTAATGCAAACTATAACATAATTTCTTTCTAGGTAAATTTTCCTATAACAATACGATACTAGAATTTTTCGATAAAAGAAAAAGAAAGGAGACTTTGTTTCACCTTATCTGTGCAATTAGATTGGAAAGCGTCTCCGCCACAATACAACGAGCTACGCGAGTCAAACCAGATGAATTAGCAGGACATCAGAATCGCTGTGTCGAGCTTGCTTGTTGCTTTTGCAATAAGCTAACAAGTGGCTTTCAAACACCTGGCCTTTCAAAGCAAGCGTTCACACCAGACTGTGTCGGTCAGAGGATTCCATCAGATCATTGGAATCCATGTTTCTCAAAGATTCCTATCGTATCTCAGGAATGATTAAAACAGTTTGTCTTTTTTCTTCTTTCGTTAAGAGATGAGAATAGGTTGACTCACCACACTGGCTCTCGTCCTCTCCATTACGACAGTCTATGTTCTGATTGCACCTTTTGTCGATACTGATGCAGGTTCCATCCAGACACCTGAATTGATCTCCGCTGCATGTGGTCACTTGGAACGAGAAATGGAAAATTCAGATTATTTCACTGTGTCACGCTGAAACTGAAGTTGTATCTCCGGCGAATGGCGTTTTGTGGAATTAACGAAAAATAAGATAAAACTGAACCGTGGAAGCTTGAATTATATTTTACGATAATTTGCCTCGAATTTTTGATAAAATAAATAAATATGACGAACGTCCATGGTTCAGTGAAAATAAAATACAAAGGAACATAATGGTACCGGTGCAATTGATTTCATCAGATAAATCTCGACAGTCGGATCTTCCGTCGCATCTCGAGGTCTGGCTCACGCAATTTCCGTCTAAGCACTCGAACTCGTCTGATCGACATCGAGCTGTGAGTCGGAAAACAGAAAATAAGAATAAACAAAAGTTTCATAATGGTAAAAGAAATGTTTAACTTGAAAGGAACAACGACGCGTAGGGATTTTAACCAAAAAACGAATGTTAAAAATGAAATCACAATAACTAGGTTAGGTCACACGTTCCTAAAAGAATTGTAATATAACTCTAAAAGAAGTTACATAGACGTTATAAATTGCTGTCAAATTAGAATCTATGTTGGGATATCTTTTTGAAAAATTACAATACAATTTTTTAAACGTGATATAAATCTTATAAATCATTCGCAATAATATTCTATATACTATAAAGTCTTTCCCGCGCAAAAAAGATAGGAGAGGTTATTTTTATCGATTTTTAGGTTAGAACTTCTAGAGAAATAAAACTTTCCCAAGATCTAGCCATCTTTAATTACACGATCCTTCCCAAACACACGCACCGTAACAAATATGTAAAGATTCAGCGATTAAGCGTGTAAAAGTGGAGGCTGGGTGACCTAACCTAGCGGCAAACAACTTGGAACGGTTCGAAACTGATTCTAAAGGGGATTGATCGGTCAGTGGAGATGAAACGGAGCCAGGAAGGTCCATTTATCGGGTCGACGCTTGTTCACAGCGGATAATTAGGCAGTGGAACGATGATAATGAATCGGATTATTCCGTTGCGCCTCGTCTCAACGCGAAGAAAGGAGGGATATAAGATTCTGAAGGCAGGAGAACTAACGATTACGACTGCTCTGTTCATAGCCGTGCAATTAATTACTCGAGAAACAAGCGTCCATTATTGAGGCCAGTAATATGCTTCGGCTCGGACGATTACTCGGCCGAACAACCACGCGACGAGCCGTTTCACCTGAAATCGAACCTTGCGCCGAGTTCGCACTTAGCGCTTCTTTCTCGCTCGTTCCTCGCGCTTATCTCAACGTACCGGGTGTCCCGTTCAACCGTACACCTTTCAACAAATCTTTTTCTATTCTTTAATCAGGAAATGTTAGTGAATCGCGAGAATTTACAAGTTTCTTTTAGAGAAGTTTAAAGAAAGCTGACTTTATTTACTAGACTTTGTAATTTTAGTCAAATCTGTCATAATTTATCTTGATTGTATGCCACAGTTATTGACACACCTTGTATTTAACTTTTCCAATTTTCTTCTTTTACTTTGGATAGAGGTTTTTCTTTAAAAATTGTGTTCGAAGTATTCGGGATTTGAATTTCGCGCTTTCGTTCAAACGGCCACGTGACCCCACGTGGTAGAAGGGGTAACCGTGTAACGATGTTATACCATATTTCTTTCTTCCTCGTTTTTGGCAAGTATACTTAATTTTGCCAGTCTTAAAAGTGATTTATTTGCCACAGGCGTATTCAGGTCTTTACAGGGCACCCGGTATACATCCCTTTGGAGAAATTTATTTATTCAGACGTAGAAAATGTTTTGAATGTTGTCCCTCGCTAATTAATACCTTTTACATTGTTTATTTTAGACCCATCATGCTTTAAAATTCGCTATTGCCTGTCGTGTCGTCTGATACACATCGGAATCCCATTTATTTAAAACTTCGTAAAAAATTAAATTAGAAATAAATTTATTTGGATTCCTCTGTTCTAGCGTAAAAGGCAAGCGAATTTTGAAACATAGGTTAGATTGTACATTTGTCAGTCACTTGTGAAACCAGTCATTTCATAAAGTATGCGCCTCTTTCATTCATATGCTTTCACGGACGATTAGTGAGCTTCCTCCCCGTCTCCAGACATTCCGCTTTACTTCGTTCAACTGATTAGTGCTTAGTTTTCGTACTTATGTGCTGACAATTTTCCTCATCCCTCCCATTTCCACAATCCTGGTATCCGTCACAGCGTTTCGATTTATCCACGCAATAGCCTGGGGTGCATTCGAATTTGTTCTCTCCGCAAGCTGCAAGAATCGTACATGTTCCATTTCTCTGTTCCTATATTTTTGCTTTCGCATGTTCTTCTTCGAGTTGACAGACGTTGACAACACGAGTTGAGAAAAAGCTCCACGAAGGCACAGAGAGCGAGTTTCACGAAGACAAATAGACAGAGACACAGCGAAGAACACATATAACGAAGACTTTCGATACGTGATAAGCTTGAAGTTTGAGGTTAGGAGGATTTGCAGATGATTATTGCGCGAACCTGGCGCCACACATAGGCGACCAAGTGCATTTTGAAAACATTCCCAAGTGGGAAAACAGAGTTTCGTATAATATCATAGAGTTAACAAATAAATGAATATGCCACGTTTTATGATAGCGACGATAGAAAAAAAAATATTTCAAATACATGTAGCGCACTACTGAACACACATTGGCCCATGAAACTGAGACAAACTATATTTCTATAACATGTATCGCATAATTTCCCAAAAAAGGTTGCAAATTCATTGCCTTATGACTAGGCCAGGAATCTTTACGTATTCGTAGAAAATTTAAACGAGGAAAAATCTACAATAAATTATACACGATCATGAATTTTAAAATTCGATTTTCTCAAAAACCTCCGACGCAATTTCGTTACTCTTCATTCTCGCCTCACTTCGAAAACTCAAATCGTCCTAGTTTCACGAGACGTTGCACAAATATTTTTCAAAATCTTCATCCAACTGTGACCGGCCAGAAAGCTATTCAAGCCCTCGAATAAGATGAAAAATTCTTACAAAGCCGTACTATAGAAGTGTTGACGACGCTACTTAGAAGTAATAGGGTTTCAATTCCGTGAAAAAAGGCGCCATATAGATGCCGAAGGTGGATGAAGGAAAGCAGTGGTAGAATTAATTAGTAACCAGACAGATGTAGAGAAGGATAGCCTACTGACTAGCGTGGTGTGGCCATTAATTAACACGCACCTGAGGAAATTTCGCGGAAGAGATTATAAATGAAGAAGGAGTTACGGGCCACGCGGCGGCTGTCTAATTTACGGCGGCAATTAGCTAACGATCGAGGATGAACGGCACTTCGAACGGAGTGCACTCGAAAGAATGGAAACGGAAGGCAGCCAACCTCCAGGAATTTCCATCGAGCTTCCCCTGGATCTTACTCCAACGATCCTCGACGTGAAAAATAAGCCATCTCCTGTATTCTTAAGATCCACATACTGGGTGTCCATTTTCAACTCCACTTACGGAATTTTGCATTGTGCAGATACTTGGAGAAATATTACGTATAATTAGACGGTAGATTTTCATCTGCTTGTAGGAAAGTCGAAATTGCACAATTGCACAGAATACGTGTAATTAAATAAAAAAAAATTCGTGAGCAGTGGTACCTTCAGCACAGACCTGAGACTGAAGATCTCGGGCCGTGTTGCCACTATTAATTGTCTGCTTTGCATATTCATGTATAGTTAGTTTTGGCAGTGCAATATGCCGAATATGTAAAAATTCAATGAAGGTTTACAAGGAGGTCGACATTTCGCTCTTTAGAATGTTGCTACGCATACATTTTTATAATGCGCTATGAGATTTAGTATATAACCGGTGTTGCTTCGTTTTTTAATCTAAAGCAATTCCTGCGTAGAGATTAGCAAACGAAAATATATACCTGTGAGTTATCACGGGCGATAAGATCGAGACAGAGAGAAAAATGGGTTAGTGGCAAAGCGGAGCAACAAAACGTTCCATTGCGCATAAATATCGTCGTTCTAGAAATTAGAATGCTGTCGCGGTCGATCCATTGTTGGAGGACTGTTTCAAATAGTCCCTTTATGTACGTTCCAGATCGAATCTATGAGAAGTTTCATCTAACATTTAGATCGTCGTTGGTAATTAATAGAGCGCGGGTATTTATGTAAATTCGTATTTTTATGAATATCACTGACAAGAGAGAATCCAATCCGTTTACTTTGCATACTAAATATCATACAAACAAATATTATACTTTGCACGCATGCTACACTCAAATATCATAATGTCAAAAAAATACTGCACTTCCTGTAGATTTTGATGTGTTAAAATTTGCCATAAACAGGTAGAACACCGCAGTCAAATAATGAACACTTTACCGACTGATAGCCGATTAATCGGTTTTTTGTCGTCGACGCTTACCGACGGATAACCTATTCATCGGCTTTTTGTCGCCGATGCTTACCGACCGAAAGCCTATTAATTGGCCTTTTGTCGGCGACAATCTTTCTCATTATTCGAGCAGGAATTCGTTATTTAGTACTAAAGTACATTGCTCAGTCGCGTCAATTGCGTTGCTTTGTAAGCTGCCGCAGTTTTATACAAATATGAAAAACTTACAGTTCGCGATAAACGAAAAGAATGGTATCGTAGAGACTAAACCAAAACAGAGCCGGCGCCAGGGAGAATCAGCGCCTGAGCTGCCGGTCGGACGTGCGTATGCTGTTGAATCGCTAGCGGTCGGTAAAGTGTTAAACATCGCGAGAGATAAAACAAATGGCAGGTTATAAGCGATACGTAAGATACATTCTAATTACAACGGCAGCGCCATATACCGAGTGTTCCGAAAATAGTCGGCGAACAATAAGTGACGAAAACTATTGTTCCTTGCCGAATAACGTGGAATAATTAATAGACACAAAGGGGAGCTATTTCTTTTGACCATTTTTCCTTTTTACTCGGTTTTTTTCAACGAATTTGTTCCCGAGCTGGCGTATTGTTGCTGGCCGACATGCGAAACACAGGCTCTCACGTGCGCAATAATTACACAGAAGCTCGACGTTACGAACGTGTCCCCGTGTTTCCATTAAACGGCGACGTTTACACGTTTTTACCTCAACGTGGACTCCTTTGCACGCGAAAAATGGCGGCACGCGATCACTGGGGAACGCATTAACCGGCTTGGATCTGAATTAATCCGCCGGATCGGACGACCAGCTGCCTGTTTTTCTGTCATTATCTCTTAAATAATAGCCGCCCGTTGATTGTTCAACTTTTTATTACGATATATCCCACGTAACCGTTGATATACCGCGTTTCATGCTCGTGAAAATCGAATTTCCTAGCTATATATACAGCACGACATAATTTAACTCAAGAATCGAGTAGTTCGTTGCTTATTTCAGTTCTGTTCACAACTAACGTCTTATTATCCAATTTTTCACCATTTCCTTTCTCTTATTGAAGAGACACCCGGTATGTGATATGATGCAAATTTCAGAATCGAATATCTTATCAAGTTCCTATTGTTCTTTTTTCTTCTTAAGTAAATAACTGGACTGCGGATGTTTATGGAAATTCATATTTCTATCAACATGATAGAAAAAACGAAATCTAAATAATTATTCGTTTCATCGAATAAGAAATGTATTTAATTGTATTAAATGTTTAGGAATATTTAATAAAGGAGGCTGCATTCATATGAATCTATATACAGGTGGTTGATAACTGGTGGTAGAAGCGGAAAGGGGGTGATTCTACGCGAAGAAAGAAGTCGAAAATATAGAATAACAATTTTTCGTTCGAGGCTTTGTTTTCGAGGAAATCGACTTTGAATTTTCGCTCGGTACGCGTGCACTATATCGCGTCTCGTTATAATGGATCTCACTGTAGATTTTTAAAAAAATTAGAAAAAAAATTAAAAAGAATTTTTATTCTATATTTTCGACTTCTTTTTTCGCGTAGAATCACCTCCTTTCCACTTGTGCCACTAATTACCAACCACCCTGTATAAATTACGTGGATTCTGTGTATTTATATAGTTTCTAATTTTTGTATAAATACACAAAAGTTCACAGTCGAACAATGATTATTACGACTATTCGCGACGATGCGTATTTTTACGTCTGACATTTCTAAAAGGGGTCATCCCATGCACAAATCAATTGTGGTATCAAATATCAAATTTGAAAACCAGGCTAATGTATCAAATTCTGGTTCTGGTTCTTCTATAACGAAATTGCCGAGTTGGAAATTTTTGGACAGCCAGTATACGGCCGCGTCAAGAAACAGCGGCGCAGGCAACAAATTCGACACTAAACGGAGCAAATCGACCTGGAAAAGGGAGCAGCGATTCTCGATAAATCCTGTAATCACGTTCCTCCATTGGGCAGGAGCGACCTCCCCTCCCCGCTAGAAAGAAGCAAAAATCGACACAAGTCGAAATTAATTCGATTCCATGGAAGCAACGAATCGAATGGAACGTGAGGTCGCGAAAATCCAGTTACGATTTTAACGCGATTTGCCAGGTGGCAAGTGCGTGCTCTCTCTCTGGTCGTTGCATCGCGGTGATCGACGAATATAAAGCGAATATCGCGACCTCGAAATTGGCAAACGTGCGGCAAGCCACGGTGGCGACACGCGTGACGCGCCTCTGCAAACAGGAAATCGCGAAGGGAACGGGGATAAATATCTTACGATTTCTCTGACATTATCTCTCAGGTTCAAGGCTCCATCCGTCTGTTCTACGCTACGGAATTGCAAACGACTGGTTGGCGATGTAATCGCGATGACCTCTCCCTTTTTCCAGCGACTAATCCGTCGCTCTACGCTCGATCACGTACCTTTTGTGACAAAAGTTTCTAATCTTTCTTTGATGTTTGAGATTAGAGATTAGGAAGATGCCCGCTAAATAACGCTATTGGAAGAAGGAAATTGAATAACGAACACAATTTATTCGAATCTGATATAGGACGAGATAATGTTTCGTATTCTTGTTCTTTGAGGTTAGAGGTTAGAAAGAGAATTATTGATATTTTAGGATAGTTTATGATCTGCAAGAAATGTAGCTGCGGGAAGGAAATTAAATAACGAAGTTAATTTACTCGGACCTAACCTATACAGGATGCGATGAAATTTCCGATCTTTGAGGTTAGGATCTATAAAGAAGAATTTCTTGCTATCTCTGAATACCTTAGGACTTTCCAAAACTGAAATTAGAACTTTTAAAACCAAATAAGATTTAATTCAACCTATATTGGGAGTGATAACATTTCCTATTCCTTTGACTTTTTAGGTTAGAATCTAAAGTAGAAGGGTTTATTATTAGCCCTGGATGCATTAAGACTTCCAGAACGCGAAGCTGAAGGAACAAAATTAAACGAGTGACTCTAATCTAACAAAACCTAGCCTAACCAATATTAAACAAGAACCTGTTGTTCTATTTCTGCTGCTTTTTTGAGGTTAGGAATTAAATACGACACCGATTCATTTTTCCAAAGGTTAAAATTGCAAGAACAGAATTGGACAAGCAAACTGACGATTACTTCATAAACGAAAGATTCCAAGAAATTCCACTGTCCGCTTTCTTCAGATTCTTCCTTAGCTTAAGTGGATACACGAAACGACTTGACAGTTCTACGTTTCTCACCCGTATATCCTTCGTATCTTTCCTTGTATTTTTCCCCCGTGTTTTTCCCCTCTTTTTTTTGTAATTCGTCAACAAACTTCATTAGCAGCATTAATATCGGACGCCGCAAAAACGGGCAACACTGCCACAGCCAAATTTAAGGCGGCCCCCGTGGCCGAACGAGATTTACTCGCGTTTATTAAGCCGCCCTAATAACCGGCTGCAATTTTAATCCGACGTTAATCTCCAGCGGGGCTGGCCGGCCCTTTCGCGGCCTCGGACCTGGAATTTCATCCGTTTTCACCGGGTTTAATCCAATTCTGATTCATGCCTGGACCCCTCACGACCTCCTCCGCGTCGCCACAACGTACGAACATGTGTATCACAGGATGATGTTTTCAGCGTCCGACAGACTTTCCGCCTCTTCTCTCGAGAATCTAACTATCAAAGTATATCGATTGGCGTATCAGCTTCGTATTTTTGATTTTATCAGCTCATTCATTAGGCAACACTATTATTTCCGGTATTAAGATGAAACGTAAACCAGAAGACTGTAAACCTTTTTTTTGAGAGAGAGAGAGTTTTAGAAAAACGTAGCAGGTTTAATATTAACAAGAGAACTATGTGCAACCATGTGGTTTTATCGAAACTTTCTAAACCGAATCCCAGATCTGCTCACTCTACCCAATGATACTAAAAACTGCATAGTAGCCCTGACCAGCCTTTCAAAATGCAAAATCCCACGTACGTTAACCAATCAAATATTAATCGCTATAATCGTACAAAACTACCAAAGAAATTTCTCCTGACCCGAGGCCGATATTATCGCGAGCTTGAAAATGTCCTTCGATCTATTGTACTTGGAACTCTTCGATCACGCGAATCCGCTTTCAATATTGAAAGTCCCATTTTCCTTCGAACGATCACGATAGCCAACAACGATTTTAATCATTTTAATTATCCGTATAAAATAGCCAAAGAAACTGTTCCTAATCCTACTGCCATCGACACTGTTCCATTTTCACAATCGCTTGCCAAAATAATTTCCTCCGACGTTCCAATAATACGAATGTTTCGCAGTCTAACGAAATGTTTGAAATCAGTGGCCGAGGAAGGTGGCCAATTTTTGTTTGCGCGTGTCGCACAACCCAAACTGGCATTTCAGGTCGATACAGAGGAAGAAAGGGACGCCAGGTATCACCGTGGGCTGGTTAACTTTCGACGTGCAGCGTCGGAGCGTGCCTCCGCAAAAGACGATGGAAATAATAAGGGGTTAAAAGGACAGGAAGATAGAGTGCGGGCTGACAGAGGGAGGAAAGGTGGGGCAACAAGTGCAATGGCCTGAAAACGCGAGGCCATACCCCTTGCGTCTCTTCCCTCAACCTGGTCACCCATGTCTTCCCAGCACGCCATTGTTATTATTGTCACAGCTATTGTAATTATTCAGCTCATCGTAATACCTGGCCATTCGCGATTAGTTCCGGCGCAGTCGCGTGCCACACTGACGATGGCCGCTCATAAAATTGTCCTGCTTTTGCCCGCTGCGTTTCGCTTGCGTGTTCACTGTTCGACGAATTTTGGATGCTATTAGGCGCGGATTAAGGAGCAAGCTAAGGGAGAAAAGCTACGGGCCCAGGCCTTGCTCTTTCGGGGCCCTTGCTATTTAAGAGAAATACATGTTACTTTGTAACTAGGACGAGAAATTGGCTCTGCAGAAAACTGAATAAAGAAACAAATGTCTTTTGAAAGTATAGCAGAAGATTGGAGATGCATCCTGGGAAAAATAAATTGTATCCAACGTTTCGGTAATTTAACGATCTTATCATTACATGGAGAGACTGTCTTTTAAAAATGTATAGTAGATGATTTTAAATATGACTTGTTACAAAATAAATCTTATTTCATATTTATGTAAATGTGTTTCATTTTAACCCTCCCCCCTTCCCTGTTTCTCCCATGGATCAACAGACCCAGAGCTAAAAAATTTTAATCCGGCCCTGGGTGGTACTGACAATGATTGCGAAAGACAAGTGTGACTATGCTACGCGTAGAAGAGAAGCCAGTTTTTGAGATCGGTGAATCCATGAACATGGTAATTGCGATATTTCGCACGAGTTCAAAGAGATTTGATCGAGGGTGGGTCGTGAATTTGTCGATGCGCGAATCGTTCAGTAGATTTTGAGCGAAGATGATTATGAAAGGAAAAAGGGTGTTTTTGGTTTCGATGAGTCTGTGAAAAAAGGAAGAGCGAAAATTATAGTGGATCGAGAGTTTGCAAAAGTCTATGGAGATCAGGATTGTGACTTTGGGATGATCTGAGCGTACATGACTTACATATGCGTTCAATTTTGGTGTTTTTAATTTTTTTAATTAAATTTGGGTCGATGGGTTTATGAGTTAGGCGAGTTAGCGAGTGAATTGGTATGTGAATATAAATACGGTTTCCAATGCTACTGGCATTGACTGAAAGGTAAAGGATGATATGAAACAAATATTTGGATGCAGTCCAAAAATGATGAAAAGTGATGTTGTTTCGAGACACACTGAACGGCTTGGAAGATTCGAAGGCAACTATTGAAAGAATTTGAAAGATTTATGGATATTGTTTCACAGTTGTTTTCGGTCAATGTGTCTAATATATTAACGTTAAAATGCTTTTGCCAACTGTGTAGCAGACTGGACAGGAGATTTAGTATCCATGTGTTACGTAAAGTTATATCCCACTTGTTCGAGAACGTGCGAGAGATCTATACCCATCGCTACCCACATCATTTATGTTCTTACGATAACAGAGGATGCAGGTAACAAATTCAGACATTTCTGAATCACAGCAGAGAGTAAGAACAAACATGCTTATGTTAATCATTTGAAATTTTGTCCCGACATCGTTGAATTATTATTGACCAGTACCCGAATGAATAATTTCAAGATGTTAAACAAGTTAGTACACAATTGCCAAATACATTGCAAACCAAGGCGTTATTCTTCCAAGATCTCACGTTAGATTGTCACATGTCACGGTTAAATATGCGAAAGAAAGATCACCAAGTGGTTAAGAATTGTTTGATCGCGAAGGAGCGAAGCCACCCACGAAAACTGACGGGTTATTTTTGCAAAATCAATTCCCGAGTACCTCCGACGAATAGTTTGAACGAAATCCACGCGTGCATGCCATCGAATACATCGAATATAGTGCCGCGGTTACGAAATATTTGATGTTAATGCCGAGACACCCAACGGAACGAAGAAAACAGCGAGGAAAATAATTTTCCATGCACGACGAAACGGAAGAAAAGAAGATCCTACGAATGTACTCACGGCAGTTAAGTTCGTCCGATCTGTCTAAACAATCCTCGACGTTATTACAGCGGTCGTTGCCGTCGATACACTGACCGTTTCCGCATTTGAATTGCGAGGCGGTGCAGGCTGCGAACACAGAAAACGAAAAAGTCATGTAAAAAAAAAAAGAGCGTGTAAAAAATATTCGTACTCGAATAGAAAACGTTGGAAATATATCACGAGGTTCGAACGAATATTTCAAACTTTGATTCCCGATCGATCTCATGGATCTCATATTGCGCGGCCATATTCGCGTGCAAAAACAACGACCATAATGCCGATTCAATTTTGTCTATACGTTTATGCTCACACACACACGCGCGCGCGCACGCACGGAGAGAGAGAGAGGGGG